ACATGAACTTCATAGGTGGATAAATCTCACTCGAGAGGTATGCAGTACACAAGAATGATAATTATTCTGCTCTACTACATATAAACATGGCTCTTGTAACAAGTTACATGATTATGATATTTTAAAACCTTCTGAACAAGTTAACATGTCAATTCAAAACAATATATATGCTATTTGGAGATACCTTATCAATATATTTAACTGCTTTTTTTGTTGTTGTTTTTTTGTGTGGGGGTTGTTTTTTTTTTTTTTGTTTTTTCGCCGTGACAATCATATTGCTGCATTTCCCAGCAATTTTTTTATTTGTACTACTACTTATTGGCGTGTTTAAATTTTGTTGCGTAGGTTAAAACGGAATATCATATTCGTTCTATGTATTTGTACTATTGTGCTCAATGTCCTTTACCTAACTTTGACACAAAGGACAGAGTTGTCATTGAAAGCGAGGGTGCAATCCAATTAGAAATTTATAAACTAATTTCACGTTTCCTTTCTACATGCCGTCTACATTTCAAAACTGTTTAAGTACCACCCTATAAGTAGGTGCATTGTCTCGGAATAGCTGTTAAAACATTAATGTATATATTAATTAGGTAAAATCAAGTTGAAAGAAAACTACAAGTCTAAGATAAAGAGATACGATTTATAATATTAAATTAGTAATGACGCAACTGCCAAGTAAAGAGGTCTAAGCTGGGACTAAACTTGTAATGACCAGGTAGACAATTCTACAGACAAGTACGTCTTGGAAAAAAATGAATATAAAGGATACTGTGTCTTTAAGCATGGTATCAGCTAGTTCAGGTTCCTGGTGGGTGTCAGATTGTGATGGCCGACCCTCACAAGGTCGTATTAATTTTGGAAACTTAAGGAGATTAGAGTTATAATGAAACCGAGACAGGTTGTCAAGCGGTTACTTGTAAAACATTTCACCGATCGAGAATTTTAGAAAATCCCGATTACACTTACAATCAAAGTTCAAATAGCCTCTCTTTTTTACAATGTACAAAAAGGCGACCTTCACAAAACGCAGCCACGACATTGCAGGGCACCCGAAAGGCACCGAAGACTCATAAATAAAATTGATATTTTGGAAGCAGAATTTGGTTTGTTTAAAAACATTTAATACAAACATTCTATCCTTTCGTATATCGGAAAGTAAATAAAAGTGCGAAACTTCAAAGTAGATTTTAAGTTGTAAATTTATATGGGAAGTATGACCTCCACTTTATGCGGTTGATAGACTTCGAGAACTGTATCCGTATTGTAATCATGCCGTCTCATTCAAAACATATCCTGTTTGTAGTTGCGCAAAAAAACGCCCATTACAGATACTTTACCAAATCATTCCTACACACTGGTCATTTTCTATTTAGATTAAAAACTATTGTACATTATTCTGGATGTTTTGTAATTCATTCAAATTCGAATAATTTTACTTATCGTATGCACTGTCCATGAGAGAGGGCCATCTATTAAATTTTAAAACATATGCTTTCACTGATACCTACCTTGTAAGGAAAGTAATTCCATGGCAAACAAGATTTACAAGACCTGTAATGTGACATGATAGTAGTGCAACATTGTTCTGTTTGTGTCACTACTGTAGTCAGTAATATTAGATGATAAAAAATATCAAAGCATGAACGTACACTTTTTGCACATATAATGCTACTCATTTTCTACAAATATCAACACCTAATTATGGTAAGAAATGTGTAAATAACCCAAAACAAAAACTTCCATTGACTTTATTTCTCAAAATGTCTGTTACATGTTTAGCGGCAAATGGTATATCATGATATAACAAACAAACATTGATGCAAACATCAAAGGGTGTCTAAGCAAGAAATGCAGCAAGTGACGATGGACTAGTAGACATCTGATGACCAGATTTTCTTGTCAATAGTTAATTGAATTTTACCAGAATTGTAAATCATAGATGAATGGGCGAACGAAAGACATTGTTTATCATGAACTTTGGTAGGCTTGCTAGCGATTAGAATATTAAAAGTATTTTCTTTAGAACATACAAAATAGTAGTCAAAATAAACAAAGTCTGTTTTTATTATTATTATAATTGTAAAAAATGTACAAACAGTATATAGACATAGTTACCATAGGGACTAATAAAGTAATATTGCATGCATTTTTTTATGTCAAATTTAAAAAAAAATGGTTTCTATCAATTTAATACTTTAGTCTTAAGGTGCAGTAGCTATATTTAAAGTCCCAAATAAATTCTAAAAGTAGAACACACTCTGGAATGACAAAATGGTATGAATTTCAAATATACTAATTTTTGGATTTTTTTTGTTATACGCGTTAACAAAAATAATTGTTCATTGAAAATTATAAATAAATTTGCATGGCAGGTTGATATAGTGAAACATTATTTATCAATTTAATGAAATACTGTTACCTGAATTTTAGACAGGTATGAGGAAATTCACTAACATCATGTTCATTCGAGTCAAATAAAAAACTACTTGACATTGGTGATAAATAAATAGCTATTGATCAATCTACTATTTTGTTGAATTGCTTCAAAAATCCTCGTCTGACCCACCAGTGTGTTGATATTCCTATCAATAAACCTATAGCACCTCATTTTTAAACTGCAGAAGAAGGTTTCTGTTGTTAAAATGTCACAGTATTCGGCAATCAACATTTCACTCAAACCACCATAAACCGATTGCATTCAAACAAAATAGAATCAAAAAGCAAAAATTCGGGTCGATTTTAATAAAAATTCAGGATAAAGTGTCAGAAGTACAATCAGGGCTGTAAAAAAGAAAAGAGCTTTTAATTTGCCGGAAAGAACCTACGGAAAAGAGGATAATAATATTATGATATGACAATTTGTAAAAATGGCCTACTTAAATTTTTTCGATAAATTTATAAAGAGAGCAACTTTTTTTCCTGCAAAATTATCCAGTTCGTTATTTATTCCCATAGCGTGACACGAATGACCGTTTCGTTTGGTTTCAGACTTTCTTCTATAAACTGATTTTCGGACACAATGTTAAGGTCTTATTTATAGCTTTCGAAATTATGTACAGCCATAACCAACTGTAATTTGTACTACAAAATAACTAGTAATTTCCAGTAGAAGATACAAAGAAATAAAATACCGAACTTAAGTTTATTTTTTGTTTTGTATTTTATACTGCCTTCCCAGCGGCTGAGGCGTGAACTTTGTTCCCGTTCTTATTCATTAATATAAAATGCTGCGAATCACCGAAGGGGAATGATGATGCGCATCCAAACGACACACAGGGATTTTATCAAGCGATGAAATCAGCGGTTTGGATTTTATTATTTCGATTCTAACACGATATCAAGATATAAATGCTGCCGTACCTGATATTAAGCTAAATTGTGCCTGATTTGTTCACTTATTTTAAGCGTGTCGCAATTTTAGTGGTTAAGTCACATTTATAATGATTACGTCACATGTCTGAATATAGAACGTCAACAGTGATTTTATTTCTTAAATAAAATACACTTTCATACAAATTATAGTTTTCAGCTTAATTGTCAGGCGCCCAGCTTAAATCTCACTCTGCTAAGTATTATATTAAGAGAAAATCCATTATACAATCATGAAATTCTTAAGTCTTTCAAGTGAGTCGTCTAATGGTTTTAAAAAACGTAAAATGACTTTTATTTGAAATGCAGTCATGAAGTAAAACATGCAAACACAACTGATTTCTGGTTTTATCTGGGGAGAATCATTTAAGTTATATTATACAGAGAGAATTTCGATCGGAATCTGGTTAGAAGTATTAAAAATACTCGTTTGCGATACTAAATTAAATCTTATTATCAGTTTTGCATATATTTCTTGTTCTTTGCATCAATACTAACGAGACACTCTTTAAATCCCGTCTTTTAATGAACAAATTAGTATCTGTCTTCAATAAGGTAATGCAATATTACACAGTTGTTCAAACTAACAAAGCATTTGTAAAGATGGCTCTGAGTCGCTCACCACCAGAAACAACTGCTTTTCAGTGTTTGAAATTATACATTTTCTAATAGTAAATTTGAGCATAGAATATCTTTAAACAATAATTTGAAGAAATATCATGAACTGGGGCATTTAAGCTTTAGCTTAAACAGGGCCAATCAAATTAATATGAGCAAACTTGACAAAAGACTAAAAGACTAAAAGAATGCTACAGACAAAGTTTGGTGATCATCTATTAATTAGTTCTGTAGAAATAGACGTTTAAAGGTATTTCTTTTTTTAATATGAGCAAACTTGATAAAAGACTACCCAAGAATGCTACAGACAAAGTTTGGTGATCATCCACCAATTTGTTCTGTAGAAAAAAGATGTTTAAAGGTTTTTTCTTTTTTTAGCTGTAACGGCACCTAAATTGGGCCAATCAAATTAATATGAACAAACTTGATAAAAAATAACTAAGAATGCTACAGACAAAGTTTGGTGATCATCCGTCAATTAGTTCTTTAGTAGAAGATGTTTAAAGGTTTTTCTATTTTTAGCTCTGTTGCCCCCTAAAATGGGCCAATTGAAATGACATGAGCAAATTTACTTGTGACTGTCACAAGGATGCTACAGACAAAATTTGAAGTAAATCTGCTCAGCAGTTTCAGAGAAGAAGACAATTATTGACGCATGACGACGGACTGACGGACGCCGGAGCATCCCCCTTTGATACTAATAGCTCACACTGAACCTTCGGTTCTGGTGAGCTAATAATGAAAAAGGACTAACTTTGCCCTGAAGACCAGTGTATTTTTTTAAACCATGAACATTTCAATGGATATTTACAGAAATTCCCTATGGTCACAAAAGTATTTCATCGTTCACGCGAAGACAATTATAACATTGAAAGGAATTATGGCAAAATGTAAACTTACTTTGACTTTAACCTGTTCACTCACTATCTACCCTTAGATGGGCAAAATATCATTTTAAACATATCTTTGTCCTTCCCATTTACTTTACCGCCAGAGAATACTCTCTACACAGATCTAGTTACTTGTCAAGTACCCAAATTTGTCCATATTTTCTTAAAACTGTTATGACTTGAGCTATGTAAAATAATTTGAAGACGGTTTTACTCATTGACGTCCATCAAATATGGGAATGAATCCTCTAGGCACTTTGGAATCTATCCTATGAGAAGCTATACTGGAGTAAATGGCCTTTCCATTCTTTATCAAGATGGGATGTACCCTTTTACTGTATGTTTAAGCAGTGCCAGAAGTCCAAGTAAAAATATTTTCAAGAATTGTAACGAAACGATATGCCTTTTGAACTGTGAATATTTCTTTTTAAAACCAAAAAAAAATTTAGTTTCAGCAACAAAAACAAATAATTTCGTATGCATTCCAAAATTTGCAATTTATTAAACGCCCTCTACGATCATTCTAGACCCACATGAATTTTCATATATGTAATAGCAAAATCATCTTCTTTTGATTGAGCGTGTATGCCGAATTCCCTTGGCAAAAATACATACGTAAGAATACAAACGCGATATCAAAAAATTATTTTAATGAAAACAGATTACGTTTAATTAAATTAAACTTAGAGGTTCAGAAACTGAATTCAAACGGTACAGGCATGGAATGACAAAGATGGTACGAACGACACAGGTACACCATCTTTAGTCCAAACATCTGCTTTAAAGTTTTGTGTAATACCTATTGGTTCATTTCCTCCAAAAAAAATAATTTCTCTTAAATCTTAACAAAATATATGAAAATAAAGATCAATATAGGACAACATCTTTGACAGAACATCCAAAAGCAACGGCATCAAATTGGACAACAAACGGGCAGAGACAGGCAAACGGGGCGGAAGAGGGGCCAATTTTTATTCAAAAGAAAGCTGAAGATTTAGTAAAAAAAATGAAGGGAGAACGGGAGTTACACAAGGTCTAAATCAAGCCACTGAAAATTTTGTTTAAATGTGAGGACAGGTTTCAAGCACAGACGTTAAGGGGTCAGATCCTGTCCCCCAAAGTGATACGCCCTTGTAAACACTATATAATATTTAAACACGAATGGGACATCAGCTACAACGATAAAACTGGTTTTCAAACAAGTTTACAATATGAAAAATACCTGTTACCATCAAGTCTCAATTTATTTTTTGGTTATTTGTTACAGTTTCAAAAAAAGAAGCTAAATACAACTTTATTTACAGTTTACTATATTTATAAGTTTACATTGAAGGCTATTTTATTCCGTTTTTTACAAAAGGAAATCTATTTATTTCTTATAATTAATATGCAACAAACATTTACAAAAATGTGATCATATATGAAGACATTATGAAGATGATAGTGGGTAAATGCTGGGTACCCGACGCTGAAGCAGAATCTATACTGAACCGGATTCTACCCTGGACCTCTGCAAACACGGGACTGTGCTTCTTAAAATACTTAATCAGTGTTGCTGCGTCTAATGTATCTGTTAAAAATAAAATAATATGCGAGTTTTAATTTAGCGTCTAGCTGAAGTGTGTTTAGTAGCGTTTGGTCGAAAATGTTTTTTTTTTACATCAAATGTTACCAGTGATTCCCATACCGGACATTTTGATAAGGAAACCCAGTACAATTATGACGGATTTAAAGCAGTAAAATTAATAATGCAAATTAACTGTGTAATGAGAACTATAGTCTCAACAAATAAAGGTGTCTTCCTCTTGATCTAACAATAGATTGCCTCATACGATATAACACTTCCGGTTAGTTCCAGAAATCGGACTCTAACTTAATTAGTATAAGTCGTAACAATTTTTCATAATCGAGCAAAAAAAAAACAAATATCTTAAACATGCAATGATAGAGTATCACAAGATTTTGACATGATATACATGTACTCACTGAAACGATGTCGTTTTAAAGCTTCAAAGTTATATCCATCACCTCCATTTATGATAAAGGTTGACCCAAATATGTTATAATCTTCACTATCTCGGAGAGGGTAATATTTTGGTATGTCGCAACTCAGACATCTGGCTTCTGCAGAAACAACGCGGCTTCCGACGGGGTTCTGTAGATTATACACTACTCGAAGTCCTAGAAAAATGAAAAAAAAATATTATGAGAATAAAAGAGGACCAGGAATAGAACGTCGACAAACTTAAAGAGTCAATTTAAATTGCATCATATTTAATTTGACTTATTTGATAAACACCCTTTTTAGGTAATATTTATCATTTATAAAGTTGTTATAATTTGTACTAACCCGACATCTGAAAAAAGGCACCGGAAGGGAGGGACCGGTTGTAATTTGCGACGGAATGTTCTAACTGTTCTCGGAGGTTTTTACCGGACACTGTTATAAGATCTATCTCATTTCCAAATGGTAACACGCTGTAAATATCTCCTGCACTTACAACTCCTGCAAATATAGATTCTTTTGGCAAACGTTGCTAATAGCTTAATATATTATTTTCAATTGAGAAAAAAATATGTATGATTGTTTAAATTACATTTTTTCTAACTATTTTTAACAGATCTGTTATGATATTATGTTATAAATATAAATTTCGAAATTTCGGAACACGTTCCACCTGCGCAGAAAATAGACTCAACAGTACCCTTATTTGTATGAAAATTAAAGCAATTTGAAAGTTAATGATAATTTTCTTTATAATGACAAATCTTAATAAACATCTGATGAAATATAAGTTATACCTTTATCAATAGATGATCTAATACCACCACCGTTCCAGAAAGCTATAGCAGCCGGCGCCCACCCTTACCAAAAAAAAGGCTCTATGGTGAACATTGCGGCAAGTTTGCCGCAAACATTGCGGTGAGTTTGCAGTAAACTGCTTTCAGCAATTATTTACCATGCAAATGAGGTTTGCGGCAAATTAGCCGCAACTAATGAGGTTAGCGGCAAATTTGCCGCAAACTATAGGGGGCGGTAGCTTCTGTTTGCGGCAAATTTACTGCAAACCTCATTTGCATGGTAAAAGTTTGCAGATGTTCGCCAAAAGTTTGCGGCAAATTTGCAGCAAACTTCATTTGCATAGTAAGTTTGCGGAGGTTCGCCAGGAGGTTTTGGTAACACTGCGGCAAACTTCATTTGCATATTTGCCAGTTTCAGCAAATATGTTATGGCGATATTTTGGCGAACATTTTGGTAAAGTTCTGGCGAACAATTTTTTCAAACATTGGAATAATTAAAACTAGCTGAATTATAAGAAAAACAAATACATATTGGTTTAACACATTTTTTCAATAGAAAATAAAAGAAATATTACAAACATATCAGTAGAATAAAATGAAATTTGATAAATTTGTAAAATAAAGAAATTAATTCCCCAGTTAAAAAAAGAGATAAATTTTACACACATTTTATTAGCAACTGATTCTATACATATTTGACTTTCATAAATTTCCACTCTTTAGTTATGATGCTATCATGAATTGTTCATATTACTTAATAATCAATTAAAACAAGAGCCTATTGAACCGGGGTGATCCTCCCCCGACTAGGATTTGGACACAGAAAAGTATATCTTTTAAAGTTTCAGGGTTATGTCCCAGACAAAGTTCAAAGTCTGATAATTCCAAAATAGTTGTAAAATCACACTTCAAATAACGACGCTATGGGCCAGACACATTTTTGCTTCAAGGTCATGCTGTGACCTTGACCTTCAAGGTAATGACCCAAATGTTGCGTGTGACATATCATCTCAATATGGTGATCATTTCGGTGAAATAGTTGTAAAATCCGACTTCAAATAACGAATTTATGGGCTGGACACCATTTTGCTTCAATGTCATGTTGCGACCTTGACCTTCAAGGTATTGACCCAAATGGTGTGTGCAACACATCGTCTCAATATGGTGATCATTTCTGTGAAATAGTTGTAAAATCCGACATCAAATAACCAAGATATTGGCCGGACACAATTTTTGTTCAAGGTCATGGTGTGACCTTGAACTTCAAGGTAGCGACCCAAATGTTGCGGGCGACACGTCATCTCAATATGGTGTTCATTTCTGTGAAATAGTTTTAAAATCCAACTTGAAATAACAAAGTTATGGGCTGGACACGAATTCGGGTTCGTATGTACGTACAGACAGACGGACAGACAACCCGATGACTATATGCTCCCCCGAAATTTTTCGGGGAGCATAAAAACAATGTTTGACAATAGCTATTATTCAGCACATGTTGCAGTATTTCTTAGCACCAAAAATGGGAAATATAATATTGTTGTAAAAGCTAAAAATCAGAAAAGTTACAGTTTGAAATCTTCTATCTGGACAAAAAGTTTCATTCAAACATGAACTGGCATGGAATAACATACATACTTCGACATCCACTTAGACAAATCACTATTAATAACAATAAATACTAACAATAGCGTTATGTGTTATGCAAAAACAAACTAGACCAATAATGGCTTTCAAAATTGTAAAAATGAATCTCAAAAATATATTTTGGTCTTATACAAACAACATATTTCATGGACATAATACCTTCAGATTTAAACTCATGCCATATAACATTATGATTGTGAGCAAAACAATATCTGACACGAACAATTAATGGCTTTCAAAATTGTTAAAATTAATCACAACAATATATTTGGGTCTTATACAAACAACTAATGTCATAGACATAATTTGTTTGTTTGTTTGTTTTGGGTTTTTACGTCACATCGACACAGTATAGGTCATATCGTGACGTTCAGGTGGCCCTTCCTTGCATTATTTCAGGCACGAACGGGTATCTGAGTAGAACCACCGACGTTCAGTTAAGCTAGCTGGATAGCTTCCTCACATGAAAGAATCCAAAGTCCCTGTCGGGATTCCAACCCACAGTGGTGAGGGGCAAGTGGTTTGAAGTCAATGACCTTAATCACTCGGCCACGGACGCCCCTCATAGACATAATAACTAAAGATTTAAACTAAATGTCTTTAGTCATGTCATATAACGATTGCAAGCAAAACAAAAACAGACTAGAGCAATAATGGCTTTTAAAATTGTAAAAATGAATCTAAACAATATTTTTGGGTCTTATACAATATAGACATAATTATTAAAGATTAAAACTAAATGTCTTTAGTCATGTCATATAACGATTTGCAAGCAAAACAAAAACTGACTAGAACAATAATGGCTTTCAAATGTGTAAAAAATGAATCTTAACAATATATTTGGGTCTTATACAAACATAAACATAATAACTTAAGAATAAAACTAAATGTCTTTAGTCATGTCATATAACAATTGCAAGCAAAACAAAAACTGACTAGACAATATTGTAAGTTTGCATGAAATTGGCTTGGCAATTTATGAGATGTTGTTTAAAGATCAAGTTTACGGAGGAATGATAGACAAAAGCTCGCAATGTCACTTTGTAAGCTAAAAACGCACTACTTTACTTTTTCACTCTTCCAAGTTTCAGTGCCCTGGCCATTGTGTGTATTTTGGTGTTGACTGCTTTGGTGACTAAGCTACTCTCCATATTTAGTTTATTGATGCAGTACACTGAAAAAAAGAAGGTTTATTTTTCATTTACATGTTACCATGTTTATACTGAATAAAACTAGAACTATCACTGAAGGTGAATGATACCCAAACCCCACCTTGAAATAAAGTGGCAGTAATCTATTAGTAAAGCCCACCTACAAATGAAGAAAATAAACACCCAAAGGCAATTATTATTTATTGGTCAATACACTGGTGCTGGCTTGATTTTGATCTGTTGGGATGAACATGTATTTGCATTGCAAAACCTAGATTTATTTACAAATGACAAGTGGCCTCATATATTATAAGTTTATCTAACTTAGTTAAGAAATCAAGGTATTATGTTTAAAAACACACCAAAATAACAAACAAGAGCGATCAGTGATCACATGTGTCGCCTCATGATGGCCAATTTCATGTTGGGACAAGTTTTTTGTGACAGTAGGACAGACAGACAGACAGTGCACAACTAGACTTGGTACTGATCATTCCTTTAAAGTTTGGATGAAATTGCACCAGTAGTTTTTGAGGAGTAGTCCGGACAAGTTTTGTGACGGACAGACAGACAGACAACGGAGAAATGATCCCTATATGTCGCCACTACTCTGTAGAGGCGACACAAAAATGATGCATGCTGTGAACATGACAGCCAGGTCAGAGCTCAAAGTTAAAACCAGGGTCATTCAAATAACCATTAGGATTTTTCTTCTAAATGCCACTGTTTGAAAGAACAATGTTGACTAACCAGTCTTACTTGTATGCAAAACTCACTTTTTCAATTATACATCAATAACAGTGGTTAAAATATACACAGATACTTTTCTGACAAATTCTAAATCATTACTGACATGATAACTGAGAAAAACTAGAAATGTGTCAATAGGACACGGATGCCCCCACAAGCCACTGTTCTGTCAATCTTATGACTCTAGGTCAATAGTTTTTGGACTACATGTGCCACAAGTTGAAAAACTAAAAAAATCAACAAAGGGCCATAATTCTGTTAAATTTGGTTGCAGCAAAAATTCCTTTATTACCATCTACACATTAAGTTTGGTAATCCCTGGAAGTTTAAGCAAAATCTGCCATCCGGTTAAAGAGGAGTTTGCGTTTCACAAAATTTCTACATAGTATATAGTGAAAAAATCAACAAAGGGCCATAATTCTGTTAAATTTGGTTGCAGCAAATATTCCTTCCTTTACTACCATCTACACATTAAAGCTGTTCATCTCTGGAAGTTTAAGCAAAATCTGCCATCCGGTTTAAGAGGAGTTGCTTTCACAAAATTTCTACATAGTATATAGTAAAAAATCAACAAAGGGCCATAATTCTGTTAAATTTGGTCGCAGCTAAAATTCTTTCCTTAACTACCATCTACACATTAAGGTTGTTCATACCCTGTAAGTTTAAGCAAAATCTGCCGTCCGGTTTAAGAGGAGTTGCGTTCACAAGATTTTGGGACGAACTGACAAGTGCAACGTTATATGCTCCCACATTGTGGGGGCATAAAAATAATCTTATTTTACTTACATGTTAAACTGTCAAATCCTCTTTTGTGCCAGGCAGTATCTACTGAATTGGACATACCACTGCTGGTTTTACAGGGAAATTTCGGGGAAAGTCTTAATCTGCTGTGAGGTTTTTTCAAGATGTGGACCACTTTCTGATTTGTTTTCAAACCTTTGACTGTCTGTGAGAAACTGTAATTGTGAAAAATATTTCAAAAATATTTTCTGTAATTTAAAATTCATCTTTAAACGTAATATTGACAAAATATTGAGAAACTACACCAATGAATTGACAATAACTTATTTTTATAATTAATGTAACACAATGTTCATACTAGAATTAGTTTTGTTAATTATTATTTATTAATGCTGATTGCACGACTTTTTCCTGACCAATTTTAGTAATCACTTTTATGAAATAATTCGGACTGCATATCGATTATTCATCACATGAAGACACATCAAATTGTTTCTATTGAAGACGACCCCAAATAGCATTACAAAATTATCACAGTATTATCATTTAATTGCTACACCATGATTATAAATATATATAAAAAAACCTCATAGATTTCAACTTACAGTTTAATAGCAATTTTTGTTTGATGTATTGTTGAGGATTGTTCATCACAAATTGTATAAAATCTGACCATTCACTGTCATTTGTAACTGTAGCATCTGACTGAAGAATAGACCTTGAATAAAAAAAAAATACATATGTACAAACAGTATATGGAGAGATATTCATATATTGAAGCAACTGACATAACACAAACAGTTCAACAACACCAGTCAGTTTTGCATAGTCCTTTACTTTCGTAAATAAACAAAATACAGAAAACAAACTACCAGTACTCACTTTAGTGCTGGCGAGGCATCTGGCAAAGGACATCCTCCAAGATCTTGTCAATAAGATCTTCCATGATGTTGTGTTCTGATAACCATTGATTCTTCATGATGCACATGCCCTTTAAAAAGAATGCATGTATTTAATAAGAATTTTAGTCTTAAACCAATGAAGGTAAAAATATGATAAACAAGATCAACAAGGAAAGGTGACGTTCAAATGAACGCAACCCCCATATGACCCAGCAACAAGTACCAATGGCAAGGAGCCAGGCGGACCCAGTTTTTCATGTAGAAATAAATACTTTTTTTTAAAAAACAATTACACATTCATGTTATTTTGAAAAAAAAGAAATATGTACATGAATATAGAGTAACATGCAAAAACAACAAAGCCATTGTTTAAAAAATTCTTTTTCTCATATATATATGGATTGTATAATATTCTTTGGTTCCCTAAACCACGAGTATACCAGCAATATAGGATTTATACCATGATAAGCTGCATAGACATAATAATTACAAAATAATTTTTTCAAAATTCTTCCAATTCAAATTACATGTTATTTCGAAAATATCATTGTAAATGTGTCTTACTCAATTTCCTTGATCTTTCGCAGCAGATTCTGTCGACATAGACAGATAGAAGCCACTGTCTCAATGATATTTCCAACACGTCTCTCCATTTCTTTTCATGTTTTTATTTCCAATTGTTGGTATATTGAGTGTTGACAACAAATTGTTGACCCTCCCCTCACCGGCCCACCTACACTATCAATCATTGCTGTAAGAAAATGAAAAGAAACAAATTATTTCATTTAAGTATACAAATATTTTGTCAAAAAAAACTTCACATGGATTGTAATTTACATTACCGTGATAATTGTTCAATCAAAGCATCTTATGAAACTATAACGCACCTTTTTTCCTATATGTCAAATTCTCATTCCAAAATGAAAGTAAAATGGGCCTGCAGATTGTTTTCAAATGGAGTATTTTCATTGGTCACAGGAAAACCTCGGACCAATGAAAATACTTAAAGGGAAACAACTCTGCTGTGCCAATTTACTTTCATTTTGGATTGAGAATTTGACATATAGGAAAAAAGGTGCGTTATAGTATCATATGATGCTTTGATTGAAACAATTATTACAAATAATAACTTAATTTTATCATATTTAAATACGCAATACAAAGAAATATTCTTTCACGGTGAATTTAGTGTGTTTTTACTCGTGAGAGTTTTACCCGAAACGGTGCAATCAGATCTCTTCCGAGTTTCATTTGTTGACAGTTTGGGCTTGGATATTTCTTGCTACGTATAATCAGCGAATGTGCCAGTGTTGGTTTTCTTAAAGAGTATTTATTTATCTAAGATTTGAGACCAAGATTATTAAGATTGGTGAAAAATTGATGAATATATGCGCTGATAATTGAGATGCTAGTGATATTTCTATGCAAAATGAAAGTAGAGTAAAATACCTTTATAATATATTAGTCATAAATTTTTTTTTTTTTTTCATAATTTTTTTTTTAGGGTTTTGGGTTGTAGAGGGGGAACGGGGGTATAGTGTAAGTCATGGCCACGCAACGTTTACCTGTGGACCGTAACACGCCTCAAGTCTCAACGATTCTTCTTCCCTTTTTCCAACCCTCATTATCAACCGATTTAGGAAGAGTTGATGTTTTGTAGAGCTGGTTTGGTTGACCCGTAATACTGGTTACCTGCACTATAGTTATGTTCTATAATTAAGTCGCAATACTTGGGTTTTCTGCATCTTTTTACACTTTTTTGAATCGACCGAGCGTATCACGCCTGTAAGACGCCATGTTAGATATCTACGGAAATTACGTCATTTTCTTGGGGAATACTACCACGTGACCGGGGATATCCGCTATTATTAGAATTCCGACTTTATACGTAAACAAACGAAGTTCGTTACGATAAATCGCGAGATATGGCGGTAATTGTCGAAGATTGCCGATTTCATTATGGGTCTTCTACCTTATAATTTTTTAACTGTTATTGTGAACTACAATACCCTCCATGATACATATGATGTTTCAATTTTGATAACTCTTAGGCAAAAAATAAAAATATTGTTTGTTTCCACTTCCCGACCCATTAAAATAGGGTTGGGTAGGTAGGTAGGTAGGTAGGTAGGTTATATATAGGTAGGTACATGAAGGACTTTTTTTTATATGTGCATAATAAATATAATTCCTTGGCAAAATAGTTATTTACTGAACAAAGTTGATTAACTTTCAGAACTGATGTGTTTGTGGCGATTATCTGGCAAACTTGTTTTTAGTTAGAAAAGTTTCTGGTGAACTTTCAGTGAATATTTTTTTTTCATAGAAAGATTCTGGCAATCTCTGGCAAATTAGTTTTCCACTGAAAGTTTCTGGCAAACTTTTGGCGAACTACTTAATATTCTGGTGAATTTGCCGCAAAGTCGCCAAATGTTTGCTACAGAGTTGCCACTAGTGGCGATATCTGGCAAACTCTTGACACAGTGTTTCGGCGAACTAAAAGGTTTGCAGCGAATTTGCGGCAAAGTTGCGGCGAGTTTACGGCAAACCTTTCCTTTTGGTACGGGTTGCAGTCAGATTCCGGGTGACTGAAATTCATGTGGTAGTCTACAATTCCGTCTGTCATAAGATTTCCTGGATGATAATATATAAGTTATATATAAATGGTTATTGGTATATAGACAAAACTAAAGTCTTAATAAATGTACATCCACATTATGAATCAATTTTCAGTTAGCTTTGTACTCTGACCTGGTTCGAGATAGTTTTTATACATATATAAATATCATCAATTTCGAGCTTGCTTTGAATTTCGAGCAAGGTCTTACTTCGTTATAAATTTATTAAAAATGGCGACTATCACTCTAGCAGTCAGCTTTTAAATAAATATTAAAAATAATTAAACAGTCACATCCATATACAATGGACTAGGAATGTACACTAAAGAAAAATATGTAATTATCATGATTCGTACCGGGTTTCCTGGCAGCCTGTGAGGATCTCAGAAACCAAAAATCGGCAATATACCCATGAACTTGATTGACCAGACTGGCATTGAACTATCTGAATGCCCGCGAGAGTGAAAAAAATAATACCATCATGTCTTTTCAATGAACATTGGACGGTCTCTAGATGTTAAAACATATCTTTATTCCAACAGAACGCTGTTTTTTTTTAAATTTGAATACCGATCTCAGAGCTGGGTCTGAATGCGATTTAAGCACGGAGTTACCTCTTTGAAAAATCTCAGAGTGTTCAGAATTCTTTGCAAGCTTGGTTGTGATTTTCTGTTGTATGTAATCTCAAACAAGGATATTTATGCATTATTTAGATGAAGACCAAGACTGGTTTTGAGTAAAAGCAAAATCAATTATATGGTTACATTATATCAAAATATAAATCATGAGAGTGCCTCTTTACCTAGATTACATTCCTTGAGCCTACATGATAGCCTCTCACCGTCCAACATCGCATTAGAATAACCGACTGTTAGTGAATTCAAGTTCTCTACAGGCTTCCTCCATTCATTTATTTCCTGTAAAATCCGCACATCTGTAAAATAAATTTATATAATATAGAGATAAAAACGGGACCGCCGACTTCGGATAATGCCGGTGGTATTCGAATAAAGGGTTGTCGAATAATCGGGGTCGGACTGTATTGTAAAATATAATTTCACATACCAACTTTAATTCACATGTTGCATTGTTGTTAATGTAACTATAGCCTATACTTTAGGTTTGTGTCGGAGATTAAACAGATAAACATGTATCCAATGAAAGCGACGTAACAAACATACAAATTTATAATAATCTACCTACAACGTGTACTACTTCAGTCACAGCGTTGTTTTGTGATTTTAATATTTTAACATGAGCTGTGGAGCCAAATGTTTACGAGCAATATTGCCAGATCAATACAATTGATATTTATTTGAAAACTTGATATTTTTACTAATAAACACATTTATTAAATAATTTAGAGTAATTTACGAGGATGGGCCAATATGAAATGTCATATGACCAACAAATTTAAGAAAAGGCAAAAAAAAAATCTTATTTTCTATTTCAATCCTTCGAAAAAATCTTATCCTATAGACATACAATAGATGTTTGAAGGACAGTTACTCTTTTTTTTTTCAGAACCCCCAAAAAAAAAAAAAAAAAACCAAACAGACACACAAAAACAATCACAGTAGCTCCTGTGTGTGCAGGAGCGTTTTCATGCAGAAAATACAAGTCGAAAGACGATCTTTATCTCTATAATATTTGAATGCGACTGAACATCATCTAGAAACAGGACTTTTGTCAACAGCTCTACGGGTATTGAAAATAATAACGTACATAACTCTGTGGACACTTGTCAATTGTTTGTCAATAAATGGTCAACGAACATTTTTGGGCCTAAATCTTATTGCAAACAGGCATAAAATAGTGAATCCATCTTTAATCACCAGTCACAGTGTTAGAAAACGCCAAATGCCATTATTAGGAAACATTTCTCCTTCTTCTGGTCATATGTTAGCAAATGGGGTATCCATATGGCAGTTATTCGCCTAACTTGTGAGTGATTTTTTAAAATCATATAAGTTGCCCTTTTGTTATCCCTGCGATATGGGCTACGAATATCTTGGTAAGTGAAAGTCTAACACCTTTGTCAATCATTAGCTTAACTTTATGAATGTTTTGTCAGCATCTATACGGAGCGTTTTCTACCAGACTTATTAACGTCTTTACTTGACTCGTGCTCATTTAGAATTATGCATTTACCCCGAAACAGTTGCAAAAGATACTTCATTGTAGCCATAGATGTTAGAAATTTCATTGTAAACATTTATAGCAAATTTTCCTAGTTTTGCTCGAGCTTTTATGTAAGCTAGTAATTCAGCACTTGTAACTGAGCGTTTACCAGTCATATTTTAGATACAATTACTAGTGTAAGGTATTTCTTAAATTCAAAATTGGTTGTCTTCACACATGAACTTGGTATCATTTGAAAACAGATGCTTCGAAGCATAGCATAGTTTATACAAACACAAGAATCACCAGCTAAATTAGAACATATACTTTATTTTGCATTACATATCGATCAACCCTCGTATAAATATAATGTATGTATATAACTTACCCTCTGAAACTGAAGAATCCAATAGGATAGGGTTTCCCGAATAGTTTGTTAATATGCCATTGGAGTCAAACTTCAGGTTAAGGTAACCAAGGTATTTGCCCAAGGTGTAGGCTTGAACAACGAGTCCTTTACCACCACCTGGCTGGTCAACAACAATAGGATACGGTCCTTCTATATCTTCACCAGCTGGTTTCTCACCTTGAAGCATTGAAATGATTTGAAACTTACGTGTAAACAACACACAGTTAATAAGCAAGAGGGCCATGATGGCCATAGATCGCTCACCTGACCAATCGAACTCATCCGAACAATTACCTAGATAAGCATTTCATGACAGGTGAGTCAAAAATGTGACCACTAGAGTGTTAACAAGGATTATCCATATTTGAGCAGTGTGACCTAGTTTTTTACCCAGGTGACCAATGTTCGAACTTCACCTAGAAATCATCAAAACAAACTTTCAAACCAATTTACAGGATACTTGGAGCAAAACAGTAGGCACTAGAGTGTGAATTTTAGCTCCAGGGACCTAGTTTTTCATCTGAGATAACCCATATTCGAACTAATCCGAACATTGACCTAGACAAGCATCGTGACCAAGTTTGATGATAATTGAGTAAAAAATGTGACCACTACATTGCTAAAACTGTTTTTCCATATTTGGGCAGTTTGACCTAGTTTTTGACCCGAGGTGACCCTTATTCGAACTTGACCTAGAAATCATCAAAACAAAATTTCAGACCAATGGACAGGATATTTGGATCAAAACAGTAGCCACTAGAGTGTTAACAAGGTTTTTCTATTTTTAGCTCCTGTGACCTAGTTTTTCATTCGAGATGACCCATGTTCGAATCATCCAAGCTATTACCTAGACAAGCATCCTGACAAAGTTTGATGATGATTAAGTAAAAATTGTAACCGCTAGAGTGTTAACAAGGTTTTTCTTCTTTTAGCTCCTGTGACCTAGTTTTTCAATCGAGATGACTCATGTTCGAACTCATATGAACTTTCACCTAGACAAGCATCCTCACTAAGTTTAATGATGATTGAGGCAAAAATGTAATCGCTAGAGTGTTAACAAAGCAGCTTCACTAAGTTTAATGATGATTGAGGCAAAAATGTAATCGCTAGAGTGTTAACAAGGTTTTTCCTTTTTTAGCTCCGGTGACCTAGATTTTCATCCGAGATGACCCATGTTCGAACTCATCTGAGCTATCACCTAGACAAGCATTCTGACCAAGTTTGATGACGATTGAGGCAAAAATGTGACCGCTAGAGTGTTAACGAACAAGTGTGGACGGAGAACGGACGACGGACATTCAACGATCCTAAAAGCTCACCTTGAGCTAGCTCAGGTGAACTAAAAATATGATAAATCTAATCCGTCGTCGCTAAAGCAGGCTTGATCACTTTGTTTCCAGAATTTTGATAACTTAAAAACCATATAATTAACAAAGGTAAGCGCAAAATGGAGAAATGTTTATAAAAGTATGCAAATGGTGAGCATAAGTAAACAAAAGAACTGTGTGAAAATACAATTTCCAGACATTTTATTCCTGTAGTATATATAATATCAATTATTTAAAAGAATTTTGATTATTTTACATATTTCTGCATTGAAAACACTTTATTTTTCCAAAGAATATATAGATAAAATATTTAATTATTCAAGGATTTACCTTTCATCATACCGCTTATATTACAAGCTGGTAAATGTAATATTTCTAACATGTGTTAGAATGTATCCATGGTTTTAAAGTTTTATGTGTACATAGTAAGTTATGAAATCAAAGCACAGAAGGCGCTGAAATTGTTTGGGTCTCAGAATGTCAGAAAGGTGAAGGTTGTGAGATTATAAACCAATTTGTTTTTGTATAGTGCCACCAATTCTTTCCAGTGTTTTAATGTAGTAAATTGGCTACAATACTAATTGCAACACTGATATTCAATTCAATGTTTATTTGACTTAAACAATTTAAAAAAAATGAGTTGTAAATAATCATGGAGCTTACTATAAGCATGTATATCTATAACAGCATCAGAGTCTGAAATTTCGCTACCATTATTTGTTTGGTCTGACGACGCAAACAAATAAAAAAGAGTCAACAGTAAGATTTTGAATAGGAAGTATTTATCTTATACCGTTGAATTAATCTTCTTAGACGTTCTGTTTAATCAAGAGCTTGTCACATATTGATAAAATACATCCTTTAACAGAAAAGAACATACTCTGCTTTTTTTGATATTATATTTATAGCAAGAGGTCGAGAAAGAAGCATGATGGAAGTCCTTCTTTACTGGTATATACTTATATAATGATAAACGTTTATTTTAGACACTGACTTGTTAATTCGAAAATATCAAATTTTACATACCGTTGTACAGGAATGTGTTTGTATGTCCACCTATGGCCAGGTCAACACCGTCTATAGCAGCTACTTGTTTATCTATATCTATCCCTGCATGCCCGAGGGCAAATATCTTGTTAATTCCTTGGCCTATCAATAGGGCTACTTCATCTTGGACTGATGTAATTACGTCATGGAACTTCACCATTGGTCCTAAAATTAAGACAGTATTTCTCTTTGGTTTACAGTGCCAAAATGTTGTGAGGGTATATCAAAAGTTGTGAGGGTATATCAAAAGTAATTTACATACAGGCAGACATTCACTTAAATTATAACTATAAAATCTTCATTTAAAACCCCTCATCCCCTTCTCTCGGCACTGTTTGTTTTGGACAGCATTGCATTAACTGTAGACATGTGATTGAATCAATAAAACTTTTTATTATCAAAATTTCGTCAAAATTAATTGATAAAGACTTCACCTTAATATAATATATTTCTTTTCTTAAAATATATAATGTACATGTACACTGCAAATGCTTACATGAAAAATTATCTCCATAAACGATGTTAACTTGTTGACAATGATGTTTATTATAGTGAAGATGATTATTATGGCGGCGGTGGTAGTGATAAAGATGATGATGCCGATGATGATGATGGTGGTGGTGGTGGTGACGACGACGACGACAACAACAATGATATTTTTGTTGTTTAAATTAAATCTTTTTTTTTATAAACTATAAATTTGATTTTCTTTTAAGAGATAAGTTTGTGTTTATGTGTGTTTTAGTGGCAATACAACTAAATTATAAAAAAATGAGTTTAAAAAAAAATTCGTTTGTATAGATAACACATCAAATGCTTCAAATGGATTCAATATGGTGGTTTGTATAGAACATTCGTGTTCGCGAATTTCACCAAGCTTTATGCATTTCTTATCATTTTGATATTTAAAATACATTTTCTGTTATAACTATACTAAAAAGAAATGTAAACAGTGACATCGCTCCTGTAAAGTTTAAAATTCTTAACTGATTCTTTTCATAACAGAGAGAAGGGGTTTTATTATACCAAAGCACGTAATAAGTTTTCCATGTAATCAAATGAAACTTCAGCTGAAAAAAAAATTAAGAGCTTAAAAAACATGATATGTTGATTAAAGTTGTAAAACTCCTTACAAGGTTAGAAATTTTCCTTATATATAAAGCATATGGATCAATTTATCATGCTATGCACTTTGTATTTTTTAAATTGAACTTAAAATGATGATAAATTTTGTCCGTGTGTCGGACAGAACGTCAGTGCTGGAATAGCGGCCGTAAATAACCACATTTGGACCATTCAAATGTCTTTCACAACTTACCCTCATTTGGGAATTGAGTGTTCGTGGTTAAATATCCAACAACGCCGATTTCTTCACCACCTATTGTTGTAGTCCAAGATTTCGAGAACTTTCCTGCCAGACGTGGTTCATTTGTGACATCAGTGTTTGCGCTTACGACCGGAAACGTGACATTATCGAGAAACTTTGCAAGACCTTCCATTTCTAGATCAAACTCATGGTTTCCAAGACACTGTTGGTGCAAAAATGTTAGCATAATCAGTAGATAATAAGTAAAAGTCGTTAAAAGTTCGCCATTGGACACGTGTTTTAGTTGTCTCAAACAGGAGTACGTAACCTTTCTAAGTATTATAATGTCCTAGATTTTAGTATATACTAACCTATTTTAGTTCGATTGTGTTGGAAGCTATAAATATATTGAAACACTCTCAAATCCGTTCCTGGAACCAACCAGTACTAGGCAAATTGTGTAAAGTTTCTTGCTCACGGAAACAACGGCTTGTCAGTGACGAGGTTTAAACCCACGTGACCAGCAATCCTCAGATTACCAGTCGGACGAGTTAACCACTCGGCCACCCTACCACTTTAACATATTTTTATATCTGGCCCTATTAAAAATATGAAATGTCAAATATCTCATTACAATAAAAAATGAGACAGATTACGAGGTTTGATCAAAAAGTTGTCGACCCGATATACTTCTAGCCACTACACTGATATTTACACACGATACGTCGATACCGATATTTTATTGAAGATTCCGCGGTTTTACACAGATTAAGTAACATAAAATACACCTTGATCAGTAGAGGGGAGTGTCATTTAGACCAAATGAGGAAAGTTGAAATCAGAGCGGTCATTAATTAAGTACCTCTGTAAGAAAGCGATGTCCCCCATGTCAAGAAAATCCATGAAGACTTTATGAATACACTTTTTGAAGGAATCCCCTTCCTATAGCACTGTGAAGAAATGGGCTGCAGAATTTAAGAGGGGCAGGGAGAGCATTGAAGATGATGAGCGGTATGTGCGGTCAAAAGAGGCCACCAACGATGAAACTGCAGAAGCCGTGCACGTTCTGGTCATGTGCGACAGAAGACGAGACCTGTGAGGCATTTAAGGGAAGTGGGTATAAGCTTTGGTTAAATTCAGGCATTTCTGACTGATGTGTATGGCATGTCGAGTTTCCGCTAGTAGGGTCCCAAGACAGTTGACTGACGACCAGAAACGGACCAAGCTTGACATTAAAAGATATCTTTCCTCTCCCTACGAGGATGAACCTGATTTTATCTCCGAATAAATTCAAGAGGGTGCCATCAGCAGGGGCCATCAGCAGGGAAGACGATGGTTTCAATTTTTTGGGATGGTCAGTGGATAATCATGATTGACTATCTTGATCAAGGTCGTACCATAAACGGTACATACTATGCAGACGAATTGAGACGTCTGCGTCAAGAAATCGCTGGTAAAAGGAGGGACAAAGTGACTCAAGGCGTTCTGCTTCTACACGACAATGCGCTAGCTCACACATCCATAGTTGCGATTGCTACTGCAAGTGACTGCGGCTTTGAAATTCTCCCCAATCCCCCATATTCTTCGGACTTGGCCCCTCTGACTTTTACCTGTTTCCGAAACTGAAAACCAAGCTTCGTGGTAGACGTTCTGTAAGCAATGAAGGTGTCATGGAGGCTGTCAATAAGTTCTTTGAGGACCAAAATTGAGAGTTCTATTTTAAAGGGTTAAACAAGTTGGAGCAGGGTGGGTAAAGTGCACTGATGTTGAGGGCAATTATGTTGAAAAGTAAAACCCTAAGTTGTGTTGTCTGACTACCGGAAGTACATCTGGCCAAGATTTTTTTTATCAATCCTCGTATAGTAAAAGAAAAGGAAGTTAAACACTTTTCAAAATTATTGATCAGCTGTTGTTCTAAATAATTTGGAAATGATATTCAGTACTGTTAGTGTGCTTGTTGATGAATATTACACATTAAATATAAGGTAGAAGAAGGTAAGTGTAACATTACTTCCAGAAAGTCAATTAAATCACAGACAGGACTACATTTACGTTAATTACCCCTCACTTTTTTCGTAATGTTAATTTCCCATAGGCCTCTGTGAGTTAGTCTTACTATTAATACAAGTGTACCACGTGACTATGAGAATTTTGTACTGTTACATAGGTAACAGTATTTTTAACAGTATAAAATCTGGTCACGTGGTCTATTTTCTTAATAAAATTAAATAAAAAAATAGCCGCCATTTTTCTCTCGATTTATTCTTATTTTCGACGATAGGGCCTAGGGTATCACAACAGTAACTATGACTCACATAAAATTTAGTTCTTTGCACCCTAGAGGTCTTTTTGACCAAATTCGAAATTGATCAATACATTCTTATGACATATCCATATCTTTCATTTGAGTTGAATATGTACAACTGTTGGGGAAATAATTTCCTTTTTTCAAAGTTAAAGGGGCATTACTCTGCCAAAAATACTTGACTTGACCTGCCCATTTCTTTGACGTATCCATATGTCAAATTTAAATTGAATGTGTAATAACCTTGAGAAGATAATGAACGGAAACTGAAAATTTAATATTATTTTCAAAGTGAAAGGGACATAACTCTGCCAAAATTCATCAAATCATGACCAAATTCAAAATTGACCTGCGCATTCCTTTGACGTATCCATTTATCAAATTTGAGTTGAATGTGTAACGCTGTTAGGGAGATAATGAACAGAATCTGAAAATTACATATTATTTTCAAAGTTAAAGGGGCATAACTCTGCTAAATCATCATACCATGAGGAAATTCGAACTTGACCTGCGCATTCCTTTGACGTATCCACATGTCAAGTTTGATTTAAATGTGTAATACCGTTGGGGAGATAATGGACGGAAACTGAAAATTTCAAATTATTTTCAAAGTGAAAGGGGCATAACTCTGCCAAAAATCATCGAACCATAACCAAATTCGAAGTAGAATTTTGTATTTTCTCATAACATATCCATATGTCAAATTTGAGTTGAATGTGTGCAACCGTTACTAAGATTATGAACTGAAACTGATGATGACGGATTGACAAAATGACGGAATGACGGAACAAGGTAAAACTATATGCACCAGCCATTATATGTTGGGGGCATAAAGATAACGCTATTTTTTCTGAGCAACTTTGTTAATTTCACACAACTTTAACGTTAACAATGTTTAAACAGCAGGATTGCTTAACAACACAATTAATCGCAGAATTTAACATTTTTTTGTTAATTTTGTTAATCATTTCATTGTTAAATATCTAAAAAGGTTTTGAACAATGGTGAAAACGCGATGGTACGATGGTGAAATCGCGATGGTACTATGGCGAAAACGCGATGTCACATCGCGTTTTCACCATCGTCCTATCGCGTCATCGCGATTTCACCATTGTACCATCTCCTTTTTTATCATCGTACCATCGTGTTTTCACCATCGTACCATCGTGCCATTGCGTTTTCACCATCGTATCTTCGTGCATCGCGGTTACAGACTAAGTAAAAAATCACGATTGTCCAAACGGACACCGTAGAAAATAGAGGATAGACTGAATATAATAATTCATTAATTATAATAATAATTTATTGAAAGAGTTAAATAAAGTCTCTATTTTTATCACAAAATAGGAACGGTTTACAAATACAGTCATGTTTCGTTGACGCGCCTGGTCAGTGTAGTGTAACGATATGGTTGAGAGATTTATTTAAAACCATTTGAAATATAAACCGAATATTTATTTGAAACTTAACATTTTATTGCCAGTAAAATATTGAAACGTTTTTACATAAATTTGACTTACGCTGCTGCATTTTATCTTGATGGGGGCTAGAAATATGCCCTTTAAGGCCAGTTATGCCCCAGAAATGCTTTTATATTTTCTTTCTAAAGAGTGTATTCCTAGTGTCCTGATATAATTTCCAAAAAGTTATTCATTGCCAGTTACTTGAACCATATTTAGATTCTTTTTCTTTTTTGCAATGAGTACAGTTATGGCAATTTCGTATTTTGTATGAAAGTCAAAATACTACTACCTTTACATTTAACTACGTTTTATCATATCATTTTATATTCAGGACTACTTTCTATCATATGACAAGAATCTAACATGCTCTAAAGAAATTATCTAAAAATTATAAAACTCCCGTTTGCTCTTTCTAAAGAAAAAAAAAAAGATATCCGTTTCTAAGGCATAATGTGCATTTAAATAGATACATGTTACTATTTATATCATACCATAGCATCGTATCCAAGTTCCTTCATGAAATAAGAAGTCGCCATACCACGATGTACAGTAAACCATACGGTGCCCATGAATTGGTCTCCGGCATCCAACAAAATCACGTTGTCATGGCTATTTCGAATTTCCTGAATTTTGGTATGTCGTCTGGCCACTCCTCCGAAACAACGCCCCTCTTGAGCATCGCTCGTGCCGCACGTTGATCCATATTTATTGAATTGTTCGAATCTCGCGTGAACATCGTTCGTATGTAAAACTGTTATTTCAAACCCTGATATGCTACAACATGCAAGAGAGAAAAATACAATCGCGAATAAAATATTATCTTTATTAAGAAAATCCATGTCTGTTGCAACTTAAGTGAAAGATTAACTATATTCACTTTTCTGTTTTTAGTTTCAGTAAGTTTGCAATATATTACGTTCTTTGTTTCAGTAAGTATGCAATATCACGTTCTTCTTTCACGGCGTTCCGTAGCCTGTAACTTGAGTTAGAATACCGAATGGATAAAACATAAATGTTTTGGTCAGTAAGAAAGTATAATGACTACATGGTTTGATGCACATTTTACACTGAAGCGAATCTTCTTCATCTTATCGTTCAGGTATTTCATATAACCTTTATATAAACCTAGAACTCCGCGAGTCGGATGTGTCGCCTTGTGAACAGTATAGTTGTTAAGCATTTTTCTTCTTAAATGTAGGTTATTTATAAACATGGCTAAAGGGCAATAACTAAAAAAAAATAAGAAGTGCAGAGTACCAGTTCTTGTGCACTGCACTTGTTCTTAATGAAATCTATCATCCTATGGAGATAATCAAGTCCATAGCTTTTATAGTTGAAGAGAAATGGCCCGAACAAAATTAATGTATGAAAATAAACAAAGGGCAATAACTCAAAAAAACATGGCGTACCAGTTTTTGTGCAATGCACTTCATCTTGATGAGACCTATCATCCTACAAAGCTTTTATAGTTTAGGAGAAATGGCCCGCATAAAAATAAAGTATGAAGATTAAAAAAGGGCAATAACTCAAAAAATAAGAAGAGCAGAGTACTGATTCTTGTGCACTGCTCTTCTTAAAGAGATCTATCATTCTATGAAGTTTCAAGTAAATAGCTTTCATTGTTTAGGAAAAATGGCCCGGACAAAAATAAAGTATGAAAATTAACAAAGGGCAATAACTAAAAAAAAAAACTAGACAAACAGAATGCAAGTTCTTGTGCCCGGCACTTCTTCTTAATGAGATCTATCATCCTACGAAGTTTCAAGCCCATAACTTTTATAAATCATGAGAAATGGCCCGGACAAACAAAAGTATGAAAATCAACAAGGGACTATAATTCAAAACATTAGAAATGCAGAGTACCGGTTCTTGTGCACTGCACTTTTTTTAATGAGATCTATCATCTTATGAAGTTTCAAGTCCACAGCTTTTATAGTTGAAGAGAAATGGCCCGGGCAAAATTAACGTATGAAAATTAACAAAGGGCAATAACTCAAAAAATAAGAAGTGCAGAGTACCGGTCCTTGTGCACTGCACTTCGAGTTATTGAAAGCAGCATGCATACCAAAATTGAAGTTAATCCGTTTTTTAGTGACTGAGTTATGCTCCGGTCAAGCTTTAGGGGACGCCGACGCCGACAACGACGCCGACAAAAGTAACCCCTTTTCAAGGCGACACAAAAATGTTTTAAATTATCGATCTGAGACGTTGACTTTACCGCACTTATAAATATGTCTTTTTTTTTTCGCTGTGGGACTCGAGGTCAAGTTGAGAAATGACATGCCAATTAATTGTTCTCGGGGCCAATGCTGAAAGAACGTCAAACTATTACTTCTTTTCCGCACTTCAACACGAAACAATTATACATTTCGTATCTACGGCTTGCGGGGCTCAGGATGGTATGAGGAATAATAGAAGAGGCGAAAATGCAAAATAATAATAATAATAAAATAATAAAAATAAATAAAAGATCTGACATCCGAGAGTAGACAAACCGTTATTTGTTCTTTTGATTGTTCGCACAGGTTAGACTCAAATACTCGACATATCTATGGTGACAACAGAATACAATTTAGGTTGCCTAGGTGCCATGGTGATGGTTTGTCTTCACAAAGATCAAGTTCATCACGACATGACCTAAAGCAATCTTCATAAATAATCAAAGCACTAAAACTTCTATTTCTCTAAATAAATGTCTACATTTTGAATCAATTTTAAAATATAAAGTGACGTACAATTATAACTAAATTTGAATAATGTCCACATTAATTTAAACATACTGTACTTTATCTGTAATGTACTTCATTAAGTCGATTATTTCACGATATAAAGAAATAAACAGTTGACAAATCCAAGCAATAACTTACTTCTTATTGGATTGTTTAAATTGTTGCGTAGGTTAAAACGGAATACCATATCTGTTCTATGTATTTGTACTATTGTGCTCAATGTCCTTTACCAAACTTTGACGCAATAGACAGAGTTGTCATTGAAAGCGAGGGTGCAATCCAATTAGAAAGTTATTAACTAATTTGACGTTTCTTTCTACATCCCGTCTACATTATATTGTTTCAAAAATGTTAAAGTATCACCCTATAAGTAGGTGCGTTGACTGGGGATAGCTGTTAAAACAAATATATTAATTAGGTAAAATCAAGTTGAAAGAAAACTACAAGTCTATGATAAAAGATGCAATATATAATACTGATTTAAAATCGATAGCAATGATGCAACTGCCAAGTAAAGAGTCTAAGCTGGGGCTAAGCTTGTGATGACGAGGTACACAATTCTACGGACAAATACTTCTTGAAAAAATGAAAACAAGAGCAAGGGATACTGTGTCCTTAATTATGGTATCAGCTAGTTCACGTTCCTGATGGGTGTCAGATTGTGATGGCCGACTCTAACAAGATTGTGTTAAATTTTGTAAAAGAGAGATATACTAGTAATAAAACCGAGAGTATACGTTGTAGACAGGTTGTCAATCTGTTTATTTAAATTACTTTTCACCGATCGAGAATTTTATACATGTTTAACCATCCCAGTCACAATTACAATCAAAGTTCAAATAACCTCTCTTTTTTACAATGTACAAAAAGACGACCTTCACACAACGCAGCCTCGACATTGAAGGGCACCCGAAAGGCACCGAAGCCTCATAAATAAAATTGATATTTTGGAAGCAGAATTCCGTTTGTTTCAAAACATTTATTACATCGAAACAAGCATTCTATTCTTTTTATATTCCAGAACGAAAATAAAGGTTTGGAAGCAGCTTAATTTCCAGCGGTGGAAAGACCTCGAGAACTGTTTCCGGATTGAAATCATTCTGTCTCTCATTCAAAACATATCCTGTTTGTAGTATTTTACCCCCCTCCCTCCCAAACTCGAAAATTCTTTACACATCTTATTGAAGAATCTCTCGACCTAGCGCTTGAAATTGTTTTATCGGACATTTTTGTGACTGGCAATTTTAACCTATATGAAAAAAATCCATAAATAACCTGTTCATTAAACACTGTCAGCAATTGAATCTTGAGCAAATATTTTCTGAGAATGCCACAATCGACGGACCCTGGATCACATTATATTTAAAATAAAAATTACTAAACGCTAAAAAATTATATCATAGAGCTAACACTAGAAAAACACAAAACCTTGTACACTGGCACAGATTTACAACTTTAGGAAATGAGATACTATCTCTCAGTCGCATTGCAAGACTTGTTTATAAATAGGCCGATTCACATATATCTTCAACTTTCTTTTATATTTATTTAATGGAATATTCTTTACGATCTCAACTTACCAGCGGATAAACAAATTATTTTCTGCTACTGTGAATATGTATTTGATTCATACTCTGAATGAAGTCTTTTCTGCACAAGCTTAGCAACTCAAAAACTGACCTACCAATATCCAATAAACAAGCTAGAAATGTGCTTAATTGTAGAGGACGCTCTGAGATATTTTAAAAGATATAAAACTTCAGAGACAGATGAAATAAAAGATGACATATATAACAGCTATAAGAACAAACTGCATCTATTCTTAAATTCTGATGATGATACCAGTAATTGTAGCAGTAAAAAAACACCACCGCCACCACCACCACCACCACCACCACCAACAACAACAACAAATATGTAAATCATAGTGTTGCAACAGCACGATAAGTTTCGTACACTAAATCACTGAATCACCGACTATAAAACATTGTATCTACTCGTACGTGCTTAAAATAATGTTACTTAAATGGTTAATGAGACATCACGTATTCTAATATACATGTGAACATCATACCGTGTTTATGAAATATTTGCAGTCGTGTGTGGTTGATTTTCCCACACACCTTTATTTTAAACTAAATTAAACCATAACAGGATGTTAAACGTCAATATAGTAAGAGTCCAATCCCTTGCTTGATCTTTATATATACAGTAAAACCCTGTTATTAAGACCATACTTAAAATGACTGCCGACTGTGGGTCCTTTACAAGAGGTAAATTCACACTCTAGTTTAAGATGACTTGTGGTAAAGAGAAGTGGTGGCCTTTTTGTGACAGATTCAGTATATGAGTGTCTGTATTTTATGCAAGATATAATCGAGTTCATTTGCAACTAAAAAGATGGCCCTAGGTTGTGTAGGTTATATTAGGTGGGCTTTTTGGGGATGGGCTTTATCACAAAGGAAACTGTAATACATGTATATGTAACTCTGAACAATTAGGTAAACATATCCTGTAAAATATAAAAATACATTTGAAATCATGAAAATTAAAACTAAATCAATACGACAAAAACAACAGATAAGATAGAATAGCCCAAAACAAAATGACAGATGTTTTACATTTATAATTGTATCATAGTTTGGAGACCTTTCTGTTGAAAATGTGTCAGAGTTAAATCGTATACATATACATGCACAGTGCGTTAACTGGAGTGCGGGTATTAGTTACCCGCACTCCAGAGCATGCCCATTGATTGGCTCATTTTTGCTGGGGTTTACATATTGTGACGGCAGAGAAAGGGAAAGCGACAGAAATGTCATATTCTGATGTTCGTTCATTGGTTCATTTTTGCCGGGGTTTCATATTGTGACAACAGGGAACGTGCTTTTATGTTTGACTATGATACAAAAGAGAAAGAACACCAAAACACTCGGCAATCTGATTAATACTCGGGGGCCTACGCCCCCTCGTACAAATCAGATAGCCTCGTGTTTCGGTGCTCTTTCTATTACTTTTCTTATGTTTAAACAAAGATATTATTTGTACCACCCCTACAGGAGTCCGGTTTCTAGATTAACTATTGCTGGTGTTTAATTAGAAAACATGGCTCTAGTAGGGTCAAAATCTACAGTCCTTTTAGTTGAAAGGCAGGGTAACAGTATTGTGCAAATGTTACTTTGCCACGAAAATTCATCTACTTACCTAGAGTTATAATGTAAACTTACTCCGGGCGACATATGTTTTAATCGTCAATTCTTTTTTGTGGAGAACTGATCCTTTCTTTGTGGAGGACTGATCCTTTTTTGTGGTGGACTGATCCTATTTTGTGGTGTGGGATGTGGATGAGGTAAGTCACACCCACATGTGCCTTAAAGTCATATTGCAACTTCGCACCTTTACTGTTGGAAGAAACTTTAAGTGCCCCTTGAATGTAATCACTGATTTCCGTAAATCAAGCTGGATAGCATTTTTATATGAAAGAATCCAAATGGGAGACACACAATATTTTCAAACCGCACACATACACACACACCCTCCCCCACCCCAAAACAACAAGAAAACAACAACGACAACGAAAACAGCTACACTTTTCTTCGTAGGTAACATGGAAAAAACAATGTAATTAAACAAAAAATAAGATAAAACATATTATTGACTGGGGATAATAAAAACTTCTGTAGTTTGACTTTTTGAAGCATTATTTCCTTACCGTAATCCGTGCCGGTTTAAAAACTATTCAGCGCTTAAAATGTATATTTTCGCCTTATTTATACCTAAATAACAAGGTTAATTATGCCATTTCGAATCTTCTTTCTATATGACAAAAATTTGTATACATGCGGAAATTGTTTGTACAGAGTACGTGATAATTTTTATTACGCTGTATTTTATAAAAGAGTGTTTCGTTGAAGTGTTGACCCTATTTCAATGATGACATCTTGAACTCGACTATGTGTAAATATGGATTATAATACAAAGTTTAATAACATCAGTATTTCATAGGGCTGATTTTCGACAATCGGCGAGATGTTCCGAATCGAAAAAACGACCGTTGGAAAGGGTATATGTTTGGGTTTACGGCGCACCAACATAGTGTAGTTCACATGGCGGCGAAACATGCTGTAACACTAAACGTATGGCTTGTCGGGAAGATCGGCATCTTTTGTCACTGAAACTATGTCGTATTTTCAAATCATATCTAAAATATTAATCCCGTTTGTTCAGTGGCAAAAAGGGGACATATGAAACGGGGCGGATACAGAAAAGAGTTAGCTTTGGGCTGAAGATTTTCACAATTTAAACAAAAGAAAACAACGTGACAGGCGAAAAGTGCGCGTGTTTAAAGATTGGGCCATCATCTTTCACATGTGACAAAAATTGTAATAGAATGTCTTTTATAGCTCATCACATGAGTTGTTATGTACTTTCCTATATAAATACTATGTTCCTAATTGTGTACGCAAGTTGATACGACTGGAAACAAGCATGAATGTATGTGATCGAGCGAGGTGGGTGTCGGAGGGGTGTCAGCTTCTATAGACTGAAGAATTTTGAAATCTGATTTGAAAAATGGCGTTATTTTCTTGACTTTCTAGTGCTGTTTATGGTACCTTCTGGACGATATAACATTACAATTGTATTTTGTTAAGGTTAGTGTGTGTTAGTTAGCAGTTACAAAATAACAGCACACTAACCAATGTAATGATTGAAATTATTTAAAAAAAACCAGTCAATTTAGTTGTCTCATTAAAAGTTAGACGATTTTCCAAACATAAAGTGTTAGTTAAAATACCGCTTTTCTATTGTACAAAAATAGTTTCCAATACTAATAGCCAATAACAAAATTTTCCATCAAATATTTGAGAGGTCATTTCGATTTAAATTTTATTTCAAGCTTACGAATATAGCTGCCATGAAATTTGTCAAAAGCAAGTGACCAATCATTCCATCTCAATTAACAAGTTATTAAAATGCAATTCCTTTTATATATCTTTATAAACTCCCCACATTTATTAATTTTCAAATCACACTTTTTTATTTTTTAATTATAGTGCTCATTTCATTAGACATTTTGAAATGAATTAACCAATCAGATATGCCGTTTAAGTCATTAAAGCATGTTGAAAGATAAAGGTCCCTTCCAAGCCCCGGGCAGGAAAATTAACAACCGGATGAAAATAAACCAATCAAATATGCCGTTTAAAAGTTCTAGTCATTCAAGCGTGTTGATAGATAAAGATCACTACCAAGCCCCAAGACAGGAGACTAACAACCGGATAATATAAAAATGTTTTGATAATGTAGTACACAATGACCAATAATGAATGAGACTGACACGAATATATTCCAGGTCAGCTGGTAAATGTATCTTTGGCCGAGTTTGTTTGGGGGAAGGGGGGGGGTCTGAAGCCCGGGCCTGAATCCGCCACTGTGAAATATTTTATTTTCTGCGCACGCGATAGCTATTATGTGCGCACGCGATATGGTTACGTGATCACGCGATAGCTATATCGTGCACATGCGATACGTATGACGTGTAAAACGAACTATTTATTACGTGCAGAAGCGATAGTATTACGTAATTATTATTTATGTACGCACGTAACATATATTGGGTGGGCGCGTCATAGCTTTCGCGTGCACACGTAGTAAATAAAATATTTCATGTACATTGTAATAAAAAAATAAACTACAAATTAAATACAATTTTGACTAAGGACACAACGGGCGGCACAAATTCGGAAACAATTAAACAGTTCAAAACAATACCATGTCAACGTTTGCCGACCTTTCAACTTTTTCATGCTGGAAACTTAACATGGTCGACTTGTCCGCTCCGAACTATATAATACCTATACGTGTATACCGAAGAGTGCAAGAAATGGAACAGTTTTATGTCGTATAATTGTCGAACGTATCTATATGTATTTAAAGAATGTTGAAATAAAATAATATTTATAGAGAAAGATTTCCTTCAGGGTAAATAGTCTACCAGACATTTTAGCCTAAAGACAAATATATCGTCTTTCACTGATCAGGTTTAAAGGTGTTACTTTAATAACTGGTATCCGTCTTAAATGTTTATCAACCAGTGACCGCAATAACGGAAATGGACTGTAACGGTGTTTCTATACCGAGTACAGGGCAGTTCAACAAAAGTTAAAATCTTGATTTAAAATAATTTAATTTTAAACTGAAGTTGCGCATCAAAAGACATGGATTTTCTTTATAAAGTTAATCATTTATTTCCAAGTTTACACGCGGTTGTACTTTTATCTGTGACATGTTTAAGCGTATCAGGGTTTGAATTAACAGTTTTACATACGAACGATGTTCACGCGAGATTCGAACAATTCAATAAATATGGATCAACGTGCGGCACGAGCGATGCCCAAGAGGGGCGTTGTTTCGGTGGAGTGGCCAGGCGACGTACCAAAATTCAGGAAATTCGAAATAGCCATGACAATGTGATTTTGTTGGATGCCGGAGACCAATTCATGGGCACCGTATGGTTTACTGTACATCGTGGTATGGCCGCTTCTTATTTTATGAAGGAACTTGGATACAACGCTATGGTATGATATAAATAGTAACATGTGTATATTTAAAGGCACTTTATGCCTCAGAAACTTTTCTTTTCTTCTTTAGAAAGAGCAACATGAGTATTATAATGTTTAGATAATGGCTTAAGAGCATGTTAGAGGCTTATAACCGAAGAATGTAGTCCTGCTTATAAAATAATTGTTAAAAAGTAGTAAAATGTAAAGATGGTAGTATTTTGACTTCCATCACCATAACTGTACTCAATGCAAAAAAGAAGCAAAAATGGTTCAAGTAACTGGCCATGAATAACTTTTTGGAAATTATTGCAGGACGTACAACTATTATATAGAATAGTTTAAGCATTTGTGGGGCATAATAGGCCTTTTAGCCCAATCAAGATAAAATGCATTCTAAATCAAGTTGGTGTAAAAATGTTTCAATATTTTACTGGCAGTAAAAAGGTAAAGTTTCAAAACAATTTATGATCGTCTGATAAACCGGAAATAGGCAATATTTTTCGACTTCTTCAAACAATCAATCTGTACGCATTTTTTTGTTAACTTTTAAACACATATTAAACATAGACTTAAATGTTTCTTACAGTGTGCGAATAGTCTTTACAATTCAAGGGTTAATGTAATCAAAGACTTACCACAGCTCATTTTTTTAATAATTTATTTTATTGTATATTTTGTACATGACCAATTTACATAATCTAACATCATTATCTTAAGCATAAATATAATGTACACACAAAGTGTTTCATTATCTAGGGTCCTCCTCTAAAGGTCTATCTTTTTGGCTTAATGGTAGCATTGTTAGTCACATTGGATTTTAGAAATTTTGAGATATTTATATGATAAGCGATATTAGCTTCGTGTATTTTAACTTGTAAAAATAGAATCGCTTAACCTAAAAAAAACCAAAGACATTTACAAAATGACTGAGTTAAAATGGTAAAAAAAAATAATAATAATAAAAACAAATATAAAAAAATATGCCATTAACAATTTGCCACTAGAATAAACGCACCAAACCTTTATTTGCAGCAGTATTTTAATAAACTAGATATGGAAATAAATATAGTACATGTGTTAACAAAATTAGGTAAATCTTCTACTTCTTTTGATGAAATTGTGCACTTCTTGAAATAGTCTTATGTTTTCGGCTTCTGCAAGTCCATCAATACCGTGTAATAATTTCATACTACTGAGAGGATGAAATAACCTGGTATTCAAAAAAAGTATACGCCTTTGCATAGTATATAATTTACATCGGAAAAAAGTGCTCCGCATTTTCGATGTCTGCGCCCCATTGGCATAATGGACTTGAAACTAAATGGTTAATAAAAGGATCATTATTTAAGTTGCTACAATTCTACAATTGTTTCTAATTCGGGAATGGTGAACATTTAAGAAACGATCTCCGTATAAGAAAAAAGATGGAACTACAGGAGGTTTATATAACTGTTTAATCTTGTTTTTAAATGAAGCTAGCGACTGTGATTCGCGAATGTTTGTCGGAATATCATTCCATAATTGAATAGCTGATGGAATGACTGATTTTGAATAAATTTCGGTACGTCTGGCTAAAGTAATAAAGTCACTATTATTTCTTAACGAATAATGGTTTTCTAACGCCATCTCGACAGATGGTGGAGAAAGTTGCATAATATATTGTGGTAATAAATTATATTTCCTTTATACATTAAAACTAGTTTTTGAATTTGTCGTCTGTCTGAAAGTGAAACCCATCCTATCTCTTTAAATAAATTTTGAATTGATGGATCTAGTTAAACCAGTTACCACTCGAGCTGCTTCGTACTGAAACTTTTCTAACGTTTCTTTTTCAAACTGTGTGCAATTATCCCATACTTAAGATGCATATTCTAAATGTGGACGTTCATAAGATATGTAAATGTTATTTAGAGTATTTCTTTTTACCTGAATTTTAGCATTTTCATTGAACCATTGAACCACCATTGCTCAAAGGTGCTAGTAACAAAAACAAGTCATGAATATAATTTTTTACTAGAAATAAATTTTGTTTTTAACAACCACAACGTTTAACTTGACAAATTTTAATAAAGTTAACATTTTCAAATAGATTTATAATCAAATAACAAATATAAAACTTTGTTTGACCTTGGTAAAAAAACGCAAAGTAGATTCGGTTTAAAAATAAAATGAAATATAAAAAAATGAGGATATAATTATGTATATGAAGCTTGTTTTGTTTATGGTGGAAAATAAAAAGATATATTATTGTATGTAAACTGATGAAAGCTCAATAGCTAAATACTGTCAGTTTGATGCTTGTCAATAGGAAATTATATTTCTGTAAAACTTTTATACATTGTCCGCCATGTTTGGCAAATACGCCCTCGGAGACGACGACACGATAAGTAAGTATATTATCGTTTCTTCGTGTCTTCGCCTTCGACTTTTGAGGGACGAAGACACGCAATGGCAAAAATCAGCCACCATAGAATTGAATGTTTTCATTGGCGTAAGATTGTGTATGACACAAGCCTAAGGTTTAATTTTGTTATATTTGGCGATATCATGGCAGTTATTGTCCTCAGTAGTAAACTCAGTAGTAAACGTGGTGATTTATCAATTCTCTTTTTTATTAGCATGTTGGAATGGAATAAGATATTACGTTTTCGTGCAATATAGCATAACAATCCGTTGTTTCCGTGAACAAGAAACTTTATACACTAATTGCTTAGTACTGGTTGGTTCCAGGAACGGATTCGTGAGTGTTTCAGTTTATTTATCACATGCCATGGTGCGGCGATTTGTCTTTGATGTTCCCTAGCTGTTATACGACAGTTACGTGCTTTATTGGTAATAACGCACAGTGCGATATCTCAGATAAAGCATACTTCTTTAAAAAAAGTGTGCATTATTTCAAATAAAGCACAGTTATCTAAGAACACTTGGTTCATGTATAAGCATGTTGTCGTTGCTTTTCCAGCCTAAATTTTAGTACCGTCCAGTGACCCTTGTGTATTTGTCTACGGTCCTTTGGCGAAGTTTTAACCTCATTTGCTATTTTCTCTACCGATTTTGCAAACATTTTTACTTCAACAGTGCTTTGGAAACCATGAATTTGATCTTGGTGTTGAAACGCTTGCGAAGTTTCTCAATAACGTCACGTTTCCGGTCGTAAGCGCAAACACTGACGTCACAAATGAGCCACGTCTGGCAGGAAAGTTCTCTAAATCTTGGACTACAACTGAAGGTGGTGAAGAAATCGGCGTTGTTGGATATTTAACTACGGAAACTGCTCAGATCTCAAGTGGAGGTAAGTTGTGTAAGACTCTATTAAGAGAAAACAATTGAATGGCCCAAAGGTGGTTATTACGGCCGCGATTCCAGCACTGACGTTCTGTCCGCCACACGGGCAAAATTTAAGTTCAATTAAAAAAATACAAAGTGCATATAACATGATAAATTGGACCGTGCTTTATATATAAGGCAAATTTCTAACCTTCTAAGGAGTTTTACACATTTTGTAAACATGCCATGTTTTTAAAACTCTTAAATTTATTTTCAGCTTAAGTTTCCTTTTGATTACATGAAATTCACATTACGTACTTTAGTATAATAAAACCTCTTCTATCTATTATGAATAGAATCAGTTAAGAATTTTAAACCTTACAGGGACGAGGTACTGTTTACATTTCTTTTCAGTATATTTTATCAAAAGAAATGTACTTTAAATATTAAAATAGTATAAAATTTATATAGCTTAGTGAAACTTGCAAACATAAATGTTCTATACAAACCGCCATATATAATTCTTTTGAAGCATTTGATGTGTTAAGATAAAAAAATCTAATTTTTTTTTAAATAATTAAGTGGTATTTCACATAAGCAAATATAAACGAAGTTAACATTAGACTTAGTCTTAAAAGAAACAAAAACCAAATTCAAAGACAAAATTCATAAACTACATCACCAATCTCATCATCATTCCTTTTGGAAAATTTTTTTTTATATTATAATATTTATTAAAGAAGAATACATCTGGGTTATTAAGTTTTGCAAATCGACTGTTTCGTTGTTTTATATTTTATTTTTAAAAATTAAAATAAACGATTACATAATATAATACATTCTCTCAATAAGACAGTCTTGTACATTGTAGTACGGAATCGCATTCGATATTAAGCTATTTTTGCACACGCTAAATAACGTGAATTCGACTTAATTTTTCGTAAACATTATGTTTATCTTACTTAAAATCATTTTTCACCGACCGTAATAATGAAACTGGTCTATTTTTGTCATTTTTAAAGTTTATCAAAACACGTTAAACATCGTTTAAGGACACGAAATATCTTATTTCATCTTGCCAATTGTATATATACATGTAGAAAATACTTAAAAGGTGAAGTCTTTATCAACTTATTTTGATGAAAGTTTGATAAATAAACATCTTAATGTTGACATACTATTTAAAACAGAAAAAAATGCCGTTAATAAAGGCGAAGAGGGATGTTGGGGTGGGGGTGAGGGTTGGCTTTAAATTAATATTTTATAGTTATCAGAAAATAGCTTTGTAGTAAAATCAACAATGTTAGTAAAAACAAAAACAAACAAAAACATCTCGTATGTGTAAGTTACGACTGCCTGTATGTAATTCTTTTTTGATATACCCTCACAATATTGTGACATTATAAACCACAGAGAAACCTTTACAATACGTTTTAGGACCAACTGTGAAGTTCCATGACGTAATAACAGCAGTCAAAGATGAAGTAGCCCTCCTGAAAGGCCAAGGAATTAACAAGATAATTGCCCTCGGGCATGCAGGGATAAATATGGATAAACAAGTAGCTGCTATAGATGGTGTTGACCTGGCTATAGGTGGACATACAAACACATTCCTGTACAACGGTAAGTAAGATATGATATTTGTCGGATAGACAAGTCAGTGTCTGATATAAACGTTAATCATTTTATAATTGTCTACCAGTAAAGAAGGACTTCTATCGTTCTTCTTTCTCGACCACTTGTCACAGATGATGTAACATTAAAATGCAGAGTATGTTCTGTTCTGTTAAAGGATGTTATTCATCAATATTTAACAAGCTCTTGATTAAACAGAACGTCTTAAAAATTAATTCAACCTTAGAAACTTAAATTAATACTTACTCTTCAATACCATACCATGCTATCGTTCTTTCATAACTTACTATGTACACATAAACTTTTACTACGACAAATTCTAATGTTAAATTTTCCAGTTTGTATTATAAGCGGTATGGTTAAGGCTAATATCCGAATAATTGAAATGTATTTTTTCTATATATTTTAGGAAAATTAAAATGCTATTAATGCAGAAATATTTTTTTAAAAAATTCAAATCCTTTTAAACAATGGAAAACGTTAATTTCTCAAGTCGGTCATGTACATTTATTAAATATACTAGTCTATTGTATTAATTTATCTTTTGTGAATACATTTGTTCTGGAAATTTTTTTCGCCAGGCCCTTTGAATTTTCTAAGGTTTCACCATTCGTCTTCCTTATTTTAAAACATTTTTATCATATTTTCGTTACCTTTTGTTATTATAAGGTTTTCAGAATCATGATTAGCTAAGAGCCCCACGAAAGTTTAAAAATGTTGCAGGCTCAGTCCTATTAAGCCTGTTCATGGAAGGTACATTTTCTTTAATACTTCAAGGTGAGAAACCAGCTGATGAAGATATAGAAGGACCGTATCCTATTGTTGTTGACCAGCCAGCTGGTGGTAAAGGACTCGTTGTTCAAGCCTACACCATGGGCAAATACCTTGGTTACCTTAACCTGAAGTTTGACTCCAATGGCATGGTGACAAATTATTCTGGAAACCCTATCCTATTGGATTCTACGGTTTCAGAGGGTAGGTTTATGATTTGTATTTAAAAAAGTGTTGTTCAACTTGAATTGTGTTCTGAAGGGGCTGTTATTAAATACTGATTAGAGTTGGAGGTTGTTTTCATTTGAAGTATTGTCGTTCATTTTGAAATGTGTACTTATGGCGGCTGTTAGTTATTGATATTGAATATTTGTTAAATTTAGATCTAATGATGATCTTATTAGTGAAATAGCTTAAAAATAAATATTTACCATTTTACGACTTTAAGTTGAAAGCTCACTGTCTGTGATGTAAGACCCCAAATTTTACTGAAATGGAAAGTTATTGTTAGTTAAATATAATACCTGTTGTAAGTTTTTACATTCATAACAAAAAAGGAGAAGAAAAAATCATCTCAAAATGTTGAATTTGCAAGGCTTTTAAGTGCAGAGTTTAACGTGCTAGGTACCGAAATTAGCTTGCACACTTCAGTAATGACGGAAATGTAACCGATAAAGCATTTAAATGTGTTCTTTACGGGTGCATCTTGATAGTCTATAGGTACAATAGGTGTATTAACTTCATTTAGTATTACATTTGAGACGCGTCACGACAAAACGAACATAATGGGTTTGCGACCAGCATGGATTCAGACCAGCCTGCGCATCCGCGCAGTCTGATCAGGATCCATGCTGTACGCCTACAAACCCTATAACAAGTAGAGAAACTGATAGCGAACAGCATGGATCCTGATCAGACTGTGCGGATGCGCAGGCTGGTCTGGATCCACGCAAACCCATTATGTTGGCTTTGTCGTGACACGGCTCATTTAAGTATCAAATTTTACAGACGCACAGATTTTACAAGAAGTCAATAAATGGAGAGAGCCTGTAGATAAACTTAGTGCAACTACTGTCGGCTATTCCAAGGTTATAATGGACGGTGAGAGATCTTCGTGCAGACTTAAAGAATGCAACCTAGGTAAAAAGGCCCTGTCGGAATTTCCTATTCTGATATTATATTACCATATTACTTTTCTTTAGATCGGAGTCAGTTTTGGCCTTGATCTGTGTGGTGCAAAAATATCCCTGCTTTAGTTGATATGAATACCTTTAATCTAGATATAGAAAATACTATTGTCCTGGAGATGAAGATTTTTGACAGGTTATATGACCCTGTACAAACATGCATGAGCTTATATAACCGTAGAGGTTATTTATTATCAAAATTGACATTGTAACAAATTTATAATACTGCACGTTTTCTTTTTTCATATCATGTATCTTAAATTTTACCGCTTATGTCATGAAGGTATGTACACATAAACACACTGACCCCATATATTCTATAAAGATTAGTGGGTTATATCCTATTTTGTTTGAAAACCGACTTACACAAACCATTTTAACGGCCTCACCTACATCTAAACACCATGTTATTAAAACATTGATAAGGACTGTAAAAGCCCCGTTTTTTTTATTTATACACCGCAAGCATGGTCTGAAATTTCTGAAAGCCCCATTTTCTTAGGCATTTACTGGAAATAAATTCAATATACGACAATGAATTTACACATGCATACACTATATTAAATACTACTATATTTTATTAATATATAATTTATATATTAGTTATATTATAAATTAGTTATATATTTCAGGGAATCTTGTAACAGACGGTATTGTGAACTTCCATATTAATTTCAGTCACTCGGAATCCACCTGGGCTCCGGCTGCTATTGCTGTCTGGAATGGTGGTGGTATTAGATCATCAATTGACAAAGGTATGGTATAGCTTTTAAAAAGATTTTTACCCCCCTTTTGAAAAGATGGGCTATATTGTTTTGTGACTGCCGCACGCTCAATAATTTAAAAACTTTAAACCAACGCCTTCAAAGTTCTTAAGGCGACAACCCCCATTGAGTAGAAGGCCCCTATTGTTTTTGGGAGCCAATGATAGAGGGTCAATGTCACAGTGACCCTGAATGTAAAAACATTTTCCGCTTAATAAATTGACAACCATTTCACCCAAGGCCTTCAGCCTTATTAAAAAGAATGCCTGCACTAATGCGTGAAGGTTAAGGTCACAGTGGCACTGAATGTAGAAACTTTATCCTCAAAATAACTATAGTACTGCTGATTTTCGGAGACAACAACTTAATGTTTGTGAGTTTATGTTAAGAATGCATTCATACTTTATTGTTTACTCTAACAAATGCCGTGTGTTTAAAAGATGAAATGAAATGTATAAGTGGAATTAACCTTAAATAAGAGCAATTTATGAATACATATTGACATGCACTAGGGGGTATTTAATTGACAGCTTAACTGAGGAAACTTCTTCTATATAGACATTTTTCAGTTGCTTAAAATTACGGTGTAACATTTGTACTGTGTTTTCTACGGTGGCACAGAGGTGACATGTGTATGTTTTTATTTATCTTGTGCGCACGAGATAATTTAGTCGTGGACACTTGATACTATTTCGTGGCCACGAGATAATTTAGTCGTGGACACGAGATACTATTTCGTGGCCGCGAGTTACTAGGTCGTTGGCACGAGATAATTAAGTCTTGGGTACTAGATACTTATGTCGTGGCCACGAGTAACTAAGTCGTGTGCACGAGATAATTAAGTCATGTGGGCACGAGAACAGTGAAATAGGATAGAGATTTTCGATAACTTTATCGTATATTTGCAGGAGTAGTAAGTGCAGGAGAGATTTACAGCGTGTTACCATTTGGAAATGAGATAGATCTTATAAGAGTGTCCGGTAAAAACCTCCGAGAACAGTTGGAACATTCCGTCGCAAATTACGACCGGTCCGAGCCTCCCGGTGCCTTTCTCCAGATGTCCGGTAAGTATAACTTCCTGATTTTTGTTTCAAGTAAAAGTTAATTTTTTTTATTACATTAAGCATTTCATGTCTATTGACTAATAGTGATATTTGCGGAATCGATTTTACCATTAATACATAAATATGAAACATTCAGTAGATAAGAAAGATTTGAAAGATGTAAACATCTTAACATGAAATAAAAAAGATAAAGTTACAAACATTATTGTTTAAACGAAGTAGATATACAGTCAAGCCTGTGTCATCACCTCTGAATAAAAAGCATTCTGTGAATAAAGACCATTTTTTTAAATAACCGTTACTATACTTGAATAAATGGAACAGAGTAACCCCTAGATAAAGACCACTTGTCTATAAAGACCATGCTTCTTAATACACTCATGTTGTAAACAGGTTTGACTGTATTCACAACATGAGTGTATTAAGAAGCAAAAACATAAGAAAGACGGGTTAATAAAGCACGAATGGCCATGTTATTTGTAAGATTTTTGTGTGAAATTTCCTTAATTTAGAATATACTCTTCTGAAAATGTCAAGGTCATCTACTGAGATAAAGGTCATGTTATTTATTTAGATCAAGGTCATACTTCAATAGGGCATAAAGAATGTCTTGTTCATGAGTATAAGGTAAAGTATGTAGCTCACAGAATTCAGAGGGTAAACTAAACATTTATTGCTTCAACGGACATCCGTTGTCTTTAATTTTCGAGCATTGGTTCCGAAGCGTCTTTTGCTGTAATCATAAAATTTACGAGAAATCCCATTTATCGTTATACATTTCTAGGACTCCGAGTTGTGTACAATCTACAGATGGAGGCAGGGAGCCGCGTGGTTTCGGCAGAAGCCAGATGTCTGAGCTGCGACATACCAAAGTATAATCCTCTCCGAGATAGTGAAGATTATAACATATTTGTGTCGACTTTTATAATAAATGGAGGCGATGGATACAAATTTGAGGCTTCAAAACGACAACGTTTTAGTAAGTATATAACATCATGTAAAAATGTTCACCCAAATTCCATTTTACTCATTAAACTCTGCGCTTTCTATGTTCACTTTACATAATAACTGATAACAGATCATTCTGGCAAATCAACTTGTATAAGACGCGTTTCGTAAAATCTTCCTTTCGGCTATGTACGAGAAACTGAATTTTAAAGGTCCAATGAAAATATAAAAGTACCGTTCAGTGGGTCCTTTTACCTTTTTGTCGGGCCGCCGACGCCATCGTGTATAATAGTATTACCTTACGGCCCGTGAATAAAAGATATACGTATTTAGGTATAATTTTATAAAATAGTTCCTTGCTACGTTGGTACTCCTGACGCTGTATTTATATATAAATTACATTATATTAGAAATGTAAAAAAATGATCATGTTTCATTTTAGACAGATTCTTCTAAATCTAATGATATTTCATTTTATAACAGATACATTAGACGCAACAACACTGATTGAATACTTTAAGAAGCACAGTCCCATGTTTGCAGAAGTCGAGGGTAGAATCCGGTTCCATACAGATGACATTTCATCATCGGGCGCTCGTCATTTACCCACAGTTATCTTCATGATTTTGTCATTTCTAGTCAGATATTTGTAAAAACACAGAAGTGAATGTTTTATATTTTTGATACTGAGCTTTAAAATAAAACCAGGGCAAATGGACTATTGAAATAAAAAATATATTGGATACATTGATTACATGATTACAAGATATAATAAAAGTCTCTCAGTTATTTAAATGGCATAAATATTGAAAATAAAATTTGAAATGATATGAAGAAAATACTGAAAATCTGTAATTGATTTAAATGATATAAAAATTGTGAGAAAAGTCAAAAGATGATTTGAATTTTAAGATAAAATTGCAACTAGCTTGTTGGTTTAAATGATACACTATTGTGTTTAAATTCTGCAAGAGTATAATATACATAACGTTTTGAAAGTGAGTCAATACCTACACTAATAGCGAGTTTTCATATACCTATATATTATTTTTCTTGCTTTTCATCTTTAAGTATTGTTACTTTTTTCAGGTCTTTCAATTTCCGTGTCCAAAAAAACGTTGATTGAATAATGAATCGTCCCGGTGCTAGGAAAGGGATGAAGAGATATCGTGTTCTTGTTATTGTCTGTCATCAACAGTGGCAATCATTGCGAGTTTATGCTTTCAACTTAATATAAATTTTGTTTTAAACCCTCTCATCCGATCTCAACTTTCAATGAGCTTTTAAGAAGCTTTTATCTATACCAGCATACTCATTGTTTATCTGTCTGTTTTACCCCAATTTCAACACGTTTTTTTCTTGTCATATATCGGCGGGCGGTCAACCTAACTGGCTTTCCTGGCTAACTAACTAGTAATAAACAAGTTCTTACCAGTAATAGACGATTTCTCCACAAGTGACCGGCTATTAGGCACTCATCATTGGGGAGAGACATTGACCATTAGACTCAATGTCCATGGTTAATTGCCAAGGAGAAATTTCGCCTAAATCGAGGATTGAACCAGCGACCCCTTCATTATAAACCCGGTGTTTCTTCTTATAGACCTTAGCGGACTGACTAGTATATCATATAATGATTATTATTTCAATTTACATGTAATTTCAATAATACCGCAAACAAGCTTTTATTTTTTTTCTCGAGTGTTTTTTCTTTTTCATTTGTGTGTCCTGTTATAGTATCCAAACTGTTACTCATTGGCCCATTACCTAAACCATCTTTTGCTTGCAACATCTTTTGCTTGCAATTAGTACAGTTAAAGTGGTTGAGTATTTTGTATGAATATCATAATGGAAGTCATTTTGCTTCTTTTACGACATTTGTTTTCACATTCAGTGCTACTTTCCTGGGTGATATGCTTAAAACTAATATTATAACTTCATAAAAGTCATGGTTGTGCTTTCTACAGAAAGAAAACTTTGTTCTTTTCGTAGGCATAATGTGCCTTTGATTATAATTTTTAATGTTTATATGCCTAAATTGCAATGTGTCATGTGTAACACTTTTAAAGAACTACCCTGCTTTCTTGTGTATTATTTTTTACTACTGGAACTATGCCCTTCTAAATTGTTTTTGTTTGCAGTCTATGTAATGTTAAAATCTTGATTTTAAATGATTTTATTTTAACTTAATCTGATTTTATTGGGACGTTTCATGTTATTCACGTTCTTTTTTAAATAGCTGCCATGTTTTCTTATGTGTACCATTTACCTTGTTTGTCAAGCAATATTTGTCCCTCCGTGTACATGAATAAATTCATATCTAAACCTACACATGCAATTTTATTATTTTAACTTAATCAGGTTTTATAGAGTGCTTTAATGTTGTTTTTTCGGTTGAATAATTATTTTATTATGTTACATAAAACATTCTAGTGTTGCTTATGTACTCAGAAAAATGTGTGTTTATTGCAGTTTATTTGTATAATTCCGGTGATTTTGTATCTACCGCTACAAACATGCTCAAACCAATACCAAAGTCAAGCTCATTAGACCAAAGAAATCTTATTTCCTACTCCAGAATATATTTTGCTTCTTCTCTGTACTAAAATCTGTAAATGGAATGAAATTGTTTCATTTTAACCAGGTTTTGTAGATTTTTTATTTGTTTTTGCATGGTTCACGTTGTCAGTCTTATTTAAAACATTTTACTGTTACTAAGTTTATGAAAGTGCAAATGTATTTAAAAACTATGTTTTTGTTGCAGCATTTCATGTTACAATATAGACAGATGACTTTATCAATAAAATACTTTCACGAAAAGGAAAAGAAAAAAGAAACAGATGTATTTTAATTGCTTTTAATCATTATTTTTATTATAAATAATCTTAATAAAGTATATTGTGTTAGTATTATTCTTTTTTAGAAAGAATCATTTGTATAAGTTTTATATCGGATTGAAAATGTCTGCCGAAAAAGATGCATAGCCACCAGAACTCGAGAGAACATACTTTGTTTAGTTTAAACATATTTTATTGCACCAAATACAAATGTAACATGTCATATATTATACATATGATGAGTATATAACAAAAAGCAAATGAGTTGGGCAACAAGTTCTAGCAACATTTGAAGCTCTTCCAAGAACTTTGTGTGACCATTTGAAAGAAAATGCATCAACATATCTCATTTGGCATCGTCAAACGTGGTATGATTTCAGAACAGTGTTACCATAATTAGATTGTTTACCAACACAGCAACATCAATCCTATAGTTATATATTCTTCACACAACTATCTCCAAATAGGTGGAAATTTATGTAAAATTGAGCGATATTCGCAAAGTTCTGTCTTTTCTTTGTTTTCTGGTTTTACACACATTCCGACACATTTCTGGTCATATCTCGGCAAGTGATTCCCCTTGATAACTTTCCTGGAAAACTATCAGGTTATTATTGAAGTCCCCGCAAGTGACCAACTACATGATTGTTTTAGTCTTGTTGTAAGAGGCAATTGACCGTAAGACTAACTGTCAGAGATATCAGTTGTCAGAGGGATATTTCGCCTCACCCGAGACACGATCTAGCACACCCTTGATTACTAATATAATGCTCTCGTATGTATGTATGTATGTATGTATGTATGGATGGATGGATGGATGGATGGATTGATGGATTCTAGGTTTAATGAGGTCCATCTGCCCTTCCAGGCACTGAGAGTTCTATTGAACAAGGCTTGCAAACTCTGTGTATCTAAACTGTTGTTCAGTAAAACGCTTAATGAGCATACTGCACCTCTTTCCGTTCTTAACACAGAAAGATTTATTTCAATATACAATAGAATAGCATGGCACATCATAATATATACAAAAACAGATGCAAGATGTATGAGTGAATAAATTGCCATGCCAAACAACATAATATATAAAGGATAACATAAAAAATGAAAACAAACTCAACTGTGGTAATATTGCGTGACATAGGAAGATACTGAGTTTCACAAATTTAAATATATCAAAAAAAATACACAACTACAAACTAAAAAGTGAAAGACATTTCAAAATTAAACATTTGATGATCCGAATTAAAGCAAAAAAATAGAACTTTAATATGATACATGAATTTTAAAAATTAAAAAATAAATAAATAAATAACTGAAATTAAGAGGTCAAATACAAAGAAAATACATTAAACCTGAACTGAGCTGAAAAGATCTTTTATAGTGACTTTGTACTTACCAAATTACTTAATATCTCTTATATTTTGGAGAAGCTCATTCCACAAAGTACAACCTTTATAAACCCCCTAAAAGACAAACTGATAATGTGGGATAGAAGGTTAGCTATCAAAACAGCAGAGCGCTTGACAAAATTTGAAGGGATACCATAAAAACCTGTTGCCGTATTCCATACCAAATTATTAACGTACTTTAAGATTTTAGCTTTAGAAAACAGTTTACATGCCAAAGAAGTATTCAGCTTAACGTTTCTTTTTTGTTGGTTTTTACGTCGCACCAACGCAAAATAGGTCACATGGCGTCTTTCCAGCTTTACTGGTGGTGGAAGATTTCAGGTGCCCCTCTGTGCTTTATTAAAGGCACAAACAGGCACCTGTCTAGAACCACAGAGGTTCCATACGCTAGCTGGATAGCGTCCACAAATGAACGAATCCGAAGTCCCTATCAGGATTTGATTCCACAGCGTTTTGGGACAGTGGTTTAACGCCAACGATCACATATTTAGAAATGGTTTCAAAACATATGCCAATTTGTTCTTCGTATTTCTATTGCCTGTCGGTGTAATAGATAAAATGTAAGTCAACTTTAGATCATAGCGAGCTCCCGTTTGGCACCTTATGTAGTTGGCACTTCATTAACAGCTGATTGACACCACTATCATCATAATATTTATCAGCAATAGACTTCTCATACTGACTTCTGTCACGCACAAATGTTCTGTCACAAACATGTGTTATCTGTTGAGGATTTGCGCATTTGTTTATGATTCTATATATATGTATGTAAACAATTAAGCCAATGTTCATATTAGTAGGAAAGAACAACTTCAAAAAAATATTCACCTTTTTAAGTCACGGTTAGGATTAAAAAATGTTGAAAATGATATTTAAAAACATTTGTTTTAAATATCTAGATGAAGGAAATGATAAATTATAAAAAAAACCCTCAAGGTAGAATATTAAGTTTGTTGTTTTTGTAATTGAAAATAAATAGAAATTGTGTGTAGCGTTGTTTGTGTCTGTATTTACATATTTCAAGCATATGATCCATTTCTGACAATAAGGTATAAATAATCTATGTAGAATGGTTTTTAATTAAAATGCTCACTTTGATAGTTTTATCAAAGTGAATTAGCCCATAATGGGAAGTTATGTAATACAGTTAATAATTATGTTGTTAGTATTTAGCACTATACCTGACAACAAGCCATTAAAGAATTATATATGTGGATGTTGCTGATAAGTGTGAGATACCTGATCCGGCTTTATATATTTGCAGATAGCAGATAATAAATCATTCTAGAACAGTTCATTAGTACGTATTCATCATATAAATATTTACCTGTATCATTTAGAATAAGATCAACACTTTTTCTTTCGAGAAATATTTCATAAGATTATCTAAATGTTACATCCAAACCGTTTTCAGCAATATTTGAAATGCTTAAGAAAAAGACCAATAATTTACAAAATATGGGAGCAGAGAATTGCATATAAGCACATTGAAATGATAAGATGACTAATTTTACTATGTAAAAAAAAATATTTCAACCCAACAAAGTCAAGATTGGTATAATGCATCACGGTTGTAATAAGGAACAGTCGTATTGCTTCAACCATTAACAATTTTTAGTTATTTATTTATTTATTTTTATTTGAGAGCACTTTTAAATAGATAAATAATGTATCATATAACATAAGTATGAATACTGGTTTAACTAATCCTAAATCTGCTCCCGGATCCCGAATCTACACGTGCCGTAAGATCATGTTCTGCACTTTTCACTATTCTCAGCCAATAAATATTTTAAAAATTTCCCTATTAATGTTGAATGGTTTTGTCTAGATTAAAAGATTCGGTTAAGATATTTTGCGTGGTAAGGATAATGATCTAAGTTTGATTCATGTTTAGTGAGTCTGTATATTAACTATAAGATCCCTTGATAAATTGCTTTGGTATTTTGCGCCATGAAAAATCGATGTCTTTGATCTTTTCCATATTTCATTACATAGAATTAATGACTGTTGTGTTTCAAGAGAGAAATTTTGTTTTTTAATGTTCATCGAAATAAATGGATGTCCTCATGTTATATGAAATAGTTCTTTTTATCTCAATCTAAGGTTCAATGAACCTTTGTGAATGAAATACTTTAAAGTGACATTATGCTCCTCCAAGTGTATATAATGACTGAGCAGGTAAAAGTAAAAATAAGTTTACATTTTGTCATAATTCCTTTCATTTTTATACTTACTTTACATGAACTACATGTGTAAATAACTCACATGGAATTGTCTAATTTAATATCCACCAGTGTTTACCTGTAACTTTCAATTATTGAAAAAAAGAAGGTGGCAGACTTTTTATATTTTTTGGCCAAAACATTTTCAAATACTTACCAGTATAACAGTAAATCTTTTGAAATACATAGGTAATTTAGCTCAACTTGACTATGAAACAATGAGCATAATATCGCTTGAAATATGTACCACCCAGCCAACAACATAATATTATGCCATGTTCTCCAATGAGTGGTATGCAGATTTCATAAATATTTGGTCTGAATATTTTGTTGTGATTAATGCCTCTGAGGGATCACCCTTTCGCATCACAATTGCAGGTGTCAAATCAATCGCAACTTTTCGGCCCTTTGGGTCAGTCTACGGATAAGGACCTCAAACACAAAAGTAAGAATACACAGAACGAGGACGATACTTCGGTCTAACCTACGCTAATAAACTAAACATGTAAACAAATAGTTATTTCATTCTAGGAGTTAAAGACTATAATTATACCAATATATCGAGTAAAAATCCACCTTACTTAAGTAAATGTACAGATACATGTATATCAATAAGCGGTACATTATTTATATACTTATTATTAAGGTTGTAGAAACCGAAAGTACAAATTGTCTTCATATAGACACTTATTCGTTTTTTTTTGTAATATAACACATGTAGTACATCAGTGAGCATTTTAAAATTTATTATGATTGTCAGACACATGTTCAATGAAATAGACTTTATTTTCGTTAAGATGTCAAAAATATACATTCGTGATACAATATTATAGATTACACCCTTTGTTTTTGTATACATCTAAAACCACGTGGTAGAACTACTTTCAAAAATAAATTTGTTGATAATAGCCAAGATGTTCCGATCGATGTCAAATGCCGTGGGCAGACGTTAAAGGTTGCCCCGTACTTCACTTCAGTGTTGTTATATTTCCCTGGTCTTTCAGGACCATTGATTCCAGCACTTTAAAATGTTTAAAATTGAGTCCTGATCAAACCTATGTTAAGGGGCGTGAGGGATGTTGCTGTTTTTCATAAAACCTCATGTACAGACTCTATCAAACTGAGTCTGCAATTTTCATGTAATTTTGTTGTGATTTATGCTTTCGAGGGATCACTAATTGATATTTAATTTACTTATTTAATCAGATATTATCATATAATTCCGATTCTTAAAGATCATCTAGTTAATTAAACAAGGCTTACTTGCTGCTGCTTTATTAATTTATGTTGCTGTTTTTTCTATTTGATCTATATTTTGTTGGTTGTTTCCAATTGTTCTAATTGAATACTGTATAATCAATATCCGGGTATTTTCCTGTCTTTGAATCTTTTCTGTGATATGCAGGCACGCAACATTTGACACATTTTTTATTTAGTTCCGCACATTGTTTTCTTATTACTTTAAGGGCACAAGCAATTTGTTTTTTGGGAACTATACGACATTGCTCATATCGCTAACTTGTCAAATTGATATTTTGGTTCCATTCCCATCGCCATAGCATGGACATTAGCATTTTCCATTGAGTTCATAACGGATCAATTAAAAACGAGTATGCAACATTTATAATTCTGCTGTTTAGATTGTTCTTTAGGGATTATGTTTTCTTTTTTTGTATTTTAAACTTAACATTTCTTACATATTAACTAGTGACTTTTCATGACTGTGAATTCCATCACACGTGCATAAAATTAGGTGTCAAATTCTGTAGAAACATTTTATAAATAAAATGGTTGATGCTCTTTGTTTATATGACTGACGTCATGTCTTCTTTTAATACGAAAATCTCATCCCTTTAATGTTTAAGATAAGTTTCATTTTTCAATGATAACGGAAATATTTGTACATCAAAGAACGTATTAAGTTACATGTTGGCTTGAGTCGAGTAAACAAACAGTATCTTTTAATGATGTAATGACCTTTTATACAAGTAATGACGTTTATCTCTTGCCATGAATTTTAATGAGACACTGAGGCCGTTAATGTACAGAAATAAAGCAATGTTTCGTTCTGTAGAAAGGGCAAACATGTTTTGTAGTATTGTAAAATAGGCTAAGAACATGTGAAACGCTTAGCCATATACAGACTTACTCACTGTATATTGATAAGATGCGAAAGAAATTCATAATCACTTTTGCAAATAACAAATTTTAGAATTGAAACTATCGGTATGGTAATTGAGGAATTGAATGTAGTGACATATATCGTCTTACTAGTATTTATAATTCACGTAATATGGAGGACAACTTCGTTCATTTTGTTTGTATTTGTTATGCTTTTAATGATATTCGTCAACAGTACTTAAATAAATATTATTATAATAGACCTAGTATTTATAAATTCGTTGAATTAGCGCAGAGTACTAACATCATCATGCAATAAAAATTATGTAAATATATATATGAAGCGTTTGAAATTTGTCAGTGTTTAGTTAATATGATGTGTTAATAAGTTTATTTTAGTGTCTATCGTTTTAAATTCAAATAATATACAAATTTTTGTCCGTGTTACTTTCAATAATTTTATGTACCATTTGATTTATTTTGACAGTGAGATAGTAAGTCAAATAATATACACTTTCTTCATTAGTTCAACCTACAAAATATTTTGAATCTTTGAATCTTGAATCTTAAATGTTAGAATCCGCCAGTTTTAGTTTAATATATTAATACATAATTTAACACCTTACTATATTGATTTTAAGCATGTGTGTGCTTCAAGGAATCAAATATGTTAGTGAAATCTATATTTCTAACTACATGAAAACAGCAACCGTATAACTACCTTATTTACGTTTACAAATCAATAAATGTATTTAAAAACATCATATTTATGAAGTCAACCATTCCAAAGGTGAAAACTAAACCCAATTTCTTTTTTAAATGACCAGTGGCCAGAAATTGGTCAGTCAAACGCTGCTGTCGCAGTTCACTCCTACTTACGAAGTTATTACGGCAGGTGATCTGCTGCCATGTTTCCGAGCCTCTAATGAATAAACATACAAAACATTAATTGAATCTGCATTTAACATGGTATGACAAGACAAAATCCTTTTCTTCAATACCCAGTGTTTGTACCACCTTTAAGATAAGTTGCTACTTTACTTAACAAGATTCACTGAAGCAATGACTATATTCATGAAAGCAGTGCAATTGTAAAATATTGAACATACATGTATTATATGCTCCCATATATCCGCTGGTATCCCATTTTTTGCAAGAAAGTACAACAAAATATTGAAAACTCGTTTTTGCATCATTGCACGAGAACTTCTGTTTAAGAGAACAGAGTAATTAACAATTTATTTTCAAGCTCGATTTTGTTCAAACTTGTGTTAGTAAAACAAGTTTCATGTGTTTGATATGAAATGCTATGTTAACATCTTTGGTCCATATGTTTTGTCACTTACCTGTCCTGGCTAAATCACGAACATGGAACATAAAAAATGTTATTACTGAAGGGGTTTTATCATCATGTCAACAAGAAGACTTATTGGTACATTGGAAATTTTATGACGTAAAATAAGACTGAATCACAATAAATGATTATGTGAAGTATTTTGAAAAAGCCTCTGTTCAAAGAAAACATAGTTCCTTTTTCAATTGACCTATACCTTAGTCGGATATTAGTTTTATATTTCTGTTATTCAATTAGAGATAAAAACACAAAACAGATGGTTTTTGCCAGATCAATAAGATCATCAAATTATTTTCAGTAATGCAAGACATAGCTTATATGGTTCCATTCATTATGTCGTTTGTCTAAGACAGTTGTTGAGGTATTAACCATGAAATTGTTTGATTACTAAAGAGATTAGTCATTGCACTTGCGTTTCATGAGAGATGAATTGTGCTGGTATGAATTTTATTTTTCCGTTATTGTTTGAATAAAAATTGCGATACTTAGATCCTTTGTTACACTCTCTCATATGACGTGGATATGCACTATTTATTACGTCCAGAAGTGATAGTATTACGTAGTCATTTAAAGTGCGAAGGTCACATATACTGCGTGAGCGCGTAATAGCTTTCGCGTGCACACGTTGTAAATAAAAAAACTTCATGTATACCCTTTATGCCATAAAACAAAACTACAAATAAAAATACAATTATGTCCAAAGACACAACGAGTGGCACAAAGTCGGAAACAATTATTCAACAGTTCAAAACAATACCAAGTCAAACTTTGCCGACCTTTCATCTTTTTCATGCGCTGGAAACTCAACATGGTCGACTTGTCCGCTCCGAACCATATAATACCTATACGTGTATACCGAAGAGCGCAAGAAATGAAACAGTTATATGTCGTATAATTGCAATAAATTCACTGCCGAACGTAGCTATACATATTTAAACAATTTTGGAAGAGAAAGATTTCCTTCAGGGTAAATATTCTACCAGACACTTTAGCCGAATTACAAATATATCGTCTTCACTAATCAGGTTTAAAGGTGTTACTTTAATAACTGGTATCCGTCTTTACTGTGTATCAACCCGTGATCGCAATAACGGAAATGGGCCGTAACGGTGTTTCTATACCGAGTACAGAGCAGTTCAACAAAAGTTAAAATCTTTATATAAATAGTATAATTTTAAACTGAAGTTGCGCATCAACAGACATGGATTTTCTTTATAAAGTTAATAATTTATTTCTAAGTTTATACGCGGTTGTACTTTTATCTGTGACATGTATTAGCATATCAGGGTTTGAAATTACAGTTTTACATACGAACGATGTCCACGCGAGATTCGAACAGTTTAATAAATATGGATCAACGTGCGACACGAGCGAGGCTCAAGAGGGACGTTGTTTCGGAGGAGTGGCCAGACGACATACCAAAATTCAGGAAATTCGAAATAGCCATGACAACGTGATTTTGTTGGATGCCGGAGACCAATTCATGGGCACCGTATGGTTTACTGTACATCGTGGTATGGCGGCTTCTTATTTTATGAAGGAACTTGGATACAACGCTATGGTATGATATAAATAGTAATATGTATCTATTTAAAGGCAAATTATGCCTTAGAAACGGATAACTTTTTCTCTTCTTCAAAAATTGCAAACATGAGTATAATAATGTTTAGATAATTGCTATAGAGCATGTTAGAGGCTTATAACCTAAGAATGTAGTCCTGCTTATGAAATAATTGTTATAAGGTAGTAAAACGTGAAGATAGTAGTATTTTGACTTCCATACAAAATACGTAATCACTATAACTGTACTCATTGCAAAAAGAAAAAGAATCAAAATATGGTTCAAGTAACTGGCCATGAATAACTGTTTGAACAGGACATACACCTATTATATAGAATATTTTAGAAACAGTAATAAAAGCATTTCTGGGTCATAATGGCCCTTTAAGGACATATTTCTAGTCCCCAATCAAGATAAAATGCATTCTGAGTCTGAGTCGGTGTAAAATGTTTTAATATTTTACTGGCAGTAAAAAAGGAAAGTTTCAAAAAAAAAATATGATCGTCTGATAAATCGGGAATGGGCAATATTTTTCGACTTCTTCAAACAATCAATCTGTACGCATTTTTGTTATCTTTTAAACACATATTAAACATCGACTTAAACGTTTCTTACAGTGTGCGAATAGCCTTTACAATTCAAGGGTTTATGTAGTCAAATATTCACCATTGCTCACAGGTACTAGTATCCAAAACAAATCATGAATATAATTTTTTACTAAAAATAATTTTTTATAACTACCATAGAGTTTAATTCGACAAATTTCAATAAAATTAACATTTTCAGATAGATTGATAATCAAATAACAAATATAAAACTTTGTTTGACTTTGGTAAAATAACGCAAAGTTGGTTCGGTTTAAAAAAAATGAAATTAAAAAAAAATGAGAATATATGTATATGAAGCTTTTTTTATTAAGGTGGAAAATGAAAAGATATTGTATGTAAAATGATGAAAGCTAAATACTGTCAGTTTGATGCTTGTCAATCGAAAATTAGATTTCTTTAAAACTTTCATACATTGTACGCCATATTTAGCAAATACAAATTGTATGGTAGCTGATATGATTATCGTATCTTCGTGTCGGCGCCCTCAAAAATCGGAGGCGTGAGCATATTATCATTTATTTTATGCTTTCAGTGGATTACTGATTTATCCGTGAAAATTATATTTGATAATTTCACAGTGAAAATTATCAAAATATAATTTCACTTTTTTCAATGACGAAACTACTTTTTTAAGATTTTCCCCATGTGGTACCTCAATTTTATTTTTACTGACAATTCTGACAATGTCAGGCTGTTAAAAGAAATAGCAAAGCTGAAATAGATAAATAACTTAAATGTCAAAAGTAATAAAGAGAGAAAACTTCCTTCTATTCCTTCAAATTCCAATCAACAAATTTCGTCTCTAAATTTTTTTGTTTCGTTTTTACAGTCTGAAAAATACATTCCTTCCCCATGCAAAACTGCTATTGATGACATTTGGGCATATTAAAGTATCCTACGAGCAATAACTGCCGTATGCTTTATGAAAAATTGAAAAGCATTGACAGCCATCACTCGTAAAATATGTAAAACAACCCAGCGTTCCTTACATGCCTTAGCAAGCTTCCAAGTTTTCCATTTTCCTAGCTCCTTTTCTGAATGTTTTCACCTCTGTCAACACTTATTTTTTGTCTGTTACAATCCTCAAATAAGTTTTCTTTCTTTTAAAAAGGTGTATGACTAACAAATCCAAATTATATCCTTCTGAATCTTACACAATTATTTTCCTCCCATGAAATACACAACTTTAAAAAGGGCTGCCGCTTACATTTTACAAAGCCAGGTCTAATATAAATTCGCAGTAAGTAACAGAAATATGGATGGATGGTTGGACTTTTCTCCTTCAAGAATTGTTTGTTTTTATTATTAAAACAAGCGATCATTCATATTTTTTTAATAAAATGAATAAATATCACCGTCATTTAACCTTGATTAGCGGACTTATTTTTCAGCTCAATACTTCTTATTTTAAATGAGAAATTCCGTCTAAATGGGGCTCTCAATGGGGGAAACAGATTTTAATATTTACGTTAAAATTATGGAAATTTCGTTTTAACTTGTTTTTAAGCATAAAATAAAAAGAAAATTTGTCTGTTTGTTGTGTAAGATGTAATTTTATTTCATCTCGTGAACTTTAAAAACAGTATTCTCACTCGTGGCTACGCCACTCGTGAGAATACTGTTTTTAAAGCCCACTCGATGAAATAAAATTTCATCTTACACACAAACAAACAAATATCCTCTATATCTTCGCCTTCGACTTTTGAGGGACGAAGACACGAAATGGCAGAAATCAGCCACCATAAAATATTATGTTTTCATTGGCGTAAGATGGTGTAACCAAGCAAAAGTGACACAAGCCTGAGGTATAACTGTGTTTAATTTGGCGATATCATGGCAGTTATTGTCGTGGTGTTTAAACAAATGAAAAAATATGACGTCAATAAACCAAATGACGTCAGGAAAATTACTTCTGCGCTAAATTTAGTTCGACGTATTTTTATCAATTCTCTTTTTTATTAGCATGTTAAAATGGAAAAACATATTGTTTTTTTGTGCAATATAGCATAATAATGCACGGTTTATTGTTCAAATGCTTTTAAATGAATCAGTCCGCCATGTTGTTACACTATACTGAGTAGGCGCGTCAACGAAAAATGTCTCTTTTACTGTAAACCGTTCCTATTTTAGATAGATCTATGTCATAAAGATATTTCAAAATATGATTTTATTTAACTCGTTCAATAAATTTAGTGTTCAATCGTCACTCATTCAATATCCTCTATTTTCAATTTCATAATGGCTTGTTTGTTAATTGTGTTGTGAAGATAAAGTCTATGTTAAAGTCAATAAAGTAGCAGCGTGGCCGAATGGTTAACGCGTCGACTGGTAATCTAAGACTGCGTGGCTTCAAACCCCGTCAAGGTCAAGCTGTTGTGTCCGTTAGCAAGACACTTTACACTCATTGCTTAGTACTGTTTAGTTCCAGGAAAGAATGCGAGAATGTTTCAATACACTTATAGCTTCCAACACAATTGAACTAAAATATGTTAGTTTATACTAAAAACTAGGACATTGTGTTACTAGAACAGGTTACGGAATCCTGTTCTAGACAACTAAAACATGTGTCCTTTGGCGAAGTTTTAACCTCATTTGCTAATTCTCTACTGATTTTGCTAACATTTTTACTTCAACAGTGCTTTGGAAACCATGAATTTGATCTTGGTGTTGAAACGCTTGCGAAGTTTCTCGATAACGTCACGTTTCCGGTCGTAAGCGCAAACACTGACGTCACAAATGAACCACGTCTGGCAGGAAAGTTCTCGAAATCTTGGACTACAACTATAGGTGGTGAAGAAATTGGCGTTGTTGGATATCTAACCACAGAAACTGCTAAAAGCTCAAGTGGGGGTAAGTTGTGTAAGACATTATTAAGAGAAAACAATTGAATGGCCCAATTGTTTTTATTTACGGCCGCGATTCCAGCACTGACGTTCTGTCTGCCACACGGGCAAAATGTATCATCATTTTTAGTTCAATTAAAATAATACAAAGTGCATAGCATGATAAATTGGACCATATGCTTCATATATAAGGCAAATTTCTAACCTTGCAAGAAGTTTTACAACTTTTATAAACATATCATGTTTTTAAAGCCCTTATTTTTTTTTCAGCTTAAGTTTCTTTTAAAAAAGTATTATAAAATCCCTTCTATCTCTTATGAATAGAATCAGTTAAGATTTTTAAACCGTGCATGAACGATTTCATTGAAAAACGTACTGTTTACATTTCTTTATAATATATTTTATCAAAGGAAATGTATTTTAAACATCAAAAAGTTATAAATGCGTTAAGCTTGGTGAAACTCGCAAACATGAATTGGTATACAAACCGCCATATTGAATAGGATATAGGATAGCATAAGATTATTTTCTTAAAAGAAAAACAAATTGATAGTTTATAAAATGATTTAATTTAAACGATAAAATATCATCATCATCAACAACAATATCATCATCACCATCGTCGTCGTCATTGTCATTGTCATTGAAATTGAAATCATCATTTTCATCATCATCATCATCATCACCACCACCATCATCATCATGGTCATCATAATTGTCATCATCATTAATTTATCATCATCATTGTCATTGTCATCATCATTATCATCATTTTCATTAACGTCATTATTATCGTTACCGTTATTGTCGTCGTCGTCGTCGTCGTGTTGGTCATCATTCACCGCATGGAGAATAAGGACATGCTAGGTGGGTAGTGGCGTGTTGGTCATCATTCACCGCATGGAGAATTAGGACATGCTAGGTGGGTAGTGGGTACATGAACATTTCCTCAAGGTCAAAGAAAAATTGCATAACTACATACGATCTGTTTATTTCTGAGTATAAGTACAGATTGAATCGACTGTGACAGTCGTCTTGTTTTTTTTTTTTTTTTGGCTTTCCTTACGGTTACATAATATAATATATGCACTCAAACACGACGTAGCCTTGAACATTGTAGTACGGAATCGCATTCGATATTCAGCTATTTTTGCACACGCTAAATTACGCCACTTTCTTTGACTTAATTAGCCGTAAACATTATGTTTATCTTACTTAAAATCATTTTGCACCGACCGTAATAATGAAACTGGTCTATTTTTGTCATTTTAAAAGTTTTTCAAAACACGTTGAACATCGTTTAAGGACAAGAAATATCTTATTTCATCTTGACATTTGTATTATACATGTAGAACAAATACTTAAAAGGTGAAGTCTTTATCAACTAATTTCGATGAAAGTTTGATTAATAAACATCATATTGATCAAATTATATGTATACATACTATTTAAAACAGATGCAATGCCGTTAATAAAGGCGGAGAGGGATGATGATCCTTTTACAAGGTCGAACGCTTAAGTCAGTGACTTAAATTTAGCTCTGTAGTAAAATCAACAATGTTAGTCGAAAAAACAACAAAACATAAAAAAAAAATAATAATAATAAATAAATAAATAAATAAACATCATTTATGTGTAAGCTACGACTGCCTGTATGTAATTCACTTTTGATATACCTTAACAATATTGTAGCATTATAAACCACAAAGAAACCTGAATACTGTCTTACTTTTTAGGACCAACTGTAAAGTTCCATGACGTAATAACAGCAGTCCAAGATGAAGTAGCCATACTAAAAAGCCAAGGAATTAACAAGATAATTGCCCTAGGTCATGCTTTAATAAATATGGATAAACAAGTAGCCGCTATAGACGGTGTTGATCTGGTTATAGGTGGACATACAAACACATTCCTGTACAACGGTAAGTAAAATATGATGTTGTCGGATTAACAAGTCAGTGTCTGAAATAAACGTTAATCATTTTATCCGATATCTACCAGTAAAGAAGGAATTCCATCGTTCTTCTTTCTCGACCACTTGTTATAGATGATGTAACATGAAAATGCAGAGTAGGTTCTATTCTGTTAAAGGATGTATTGTATCAATATTTGACAAGCTCATGATTAAACAGAACGTCTTAAAAGATGAAATCAAACGTAGAAACTTAAATAAATACTTCCTCTTCAATAACTTACCATGCTATCGTTCTTTCATAACTAACGATGTACACAGTCATAAAACTTTAAAACGACACATTGTCACACATATAAGCGGCATGGTTAAGGTTGTTACTGAATAATGAAAATGTAATTTCTATAAATTTTCGGAAAATTATAATGCTATTAATGCAGACATATTCAAAATAATCCAAATTCTTTTAAATAATAGAAAACGTAAATTTCTCATTTGGACATGTACATATACTAGTATATTGTAACGATCAGGCCCATCATTTTACGTCCGAAAATAAACCCGTATCCGGAAACTACTCAAGTACCAAAGTAATTAACTGTACTTCATGACATCAGCTTTTAATCATCAAAACATACACTGCATGTACAGATTACTTCATCCTTTTAATATTTACGATGGTTATATTACTTAAAATAACATATTTTCTACGTTGTAGCCGTTTTTGTGTCGCCTCTACGGAGTAGTGGCGACATAATAGGGATCACTTCTCCGTCGTCTGTCTGTACGCGTCTGTCTGTCCGCACTCACAGGACAGTAATTATGTGGCTAGAGGGACAATAGGTAACTGTTCTTTCTCTTTGATGTCATTCATTCCGTAATGCTTTTATGTGGCTATTTTCTTTTGTGTGGCTAAAAAGAACAAATGAGAGAACAATAGAGTAGCCACATAATTACTCTCCTGTTAGAACGTCCGTCTGTCCGTCACAAAACTTGTCCGGACTACTCCTCATAAACTACTGGTGCAGTTTCATCCAAACTTTATAGGAATGATCAGTACCAAGTCTAGTTGTGCATATTGTCAGCATTTTCCGGTTCAATGATTTTTGACAGAGTTATGGCTCTTTAATAATTTTCATTTTTAAAGTTTGTCCGGACCACTTCTCTTATACCACTAATGCAATTTCAATGAAACTTTACAGGATTGATCTGTAGCTCAAGTCCTTGCGCATATTGCACGGGTTTTCCGGTTGAATGATTTTTGGCCGAGTTATGGCCCTTTGATAAAAAGGTGTTTTTTTTCTGTGTGTTGCCAGATACACAAAAGCTTGTCCGGACTACTCCTTAAAAACTACTGCTGCAATTTCATCCAAACTTTACAGGAATGATCAGTACCAAGTCTAGTTGTGCATATTGTCAGTATTTTCCGGTCCAATGATTTTTGTCAGATATATGGCCCTTTAATAATTTTTATTTTTAAAGTTTGTCCGGACTACTTCTCTTATACCACTTATGCAATTTCAATGAAACTTTACAGGATTGATCTGTAGCTCAAGTCCTTGCGCATATTGCACGAGTTTTCCGGTTGAATGATTTTTGGCTGAGTTATGGCCCTTTGATAAAAAGGTGTTTTTTTCTGTGTGTTGCCAGATACACAAAAGCTTGTCCGGACTACTCCTTAAAAACTACTGCTGCAATTTCATCCAAACTTTACAGGAATGATCAGTACCAAGTCTAGTTGTGCACTGTCCGTCTGTCTGTTCGTCTGTCACAAAACTTGTCCCAACATAAAATTGGCCATCATGAGGCGACACATGTGATTACTGATCGCTCTTGTAATGATCAATTAGCCACACGCTGCCAATTTAAACATGGCAGCTGGCACTGGCTAAATTTCTGCCCGCGCGAGCTAGGCAGTGACGTCATCGGAGACGATGACGATACTGCCAAGCTAGGCACCCTAGCCAAGCTAGCCAAGCTAGCCACCCAGCGTCCCAGACTATAAATAGCAGCCCGAATCTGCCAAAATTGTCAGTACCTTGGTAGATAGCCACCAGACCACACCTATACTATATTGAATATGGATGTATCTCCAGCCACCAGAAAGGTATATAATACTTTGTGCCAGTAATAGTTCATATAGAAGCTTTATATTAAATCATCTAGTTTGGCAGTTTGGCATTACTTTCCATTTATGATAGATTCTCACTGAAGACCAAGTTTCCATAGCCATAATCCCATATTTTATAGTGATACCCATATACCAGGGTAGAACACCACTGTATTTTGTAGTTACCATTTTAGATACCCCATCAACCTTATAGCATTTCATGGTAATTCCCACCATAGAATTTGTACCAGACCACAGGCAAGACGTGACACCGTATTTGTCAAGCCTTTCATTACATCTTATATTATACATTATTCTAGACGTAACAGAAGAATATTCCTGACCTACGAGGAGCCCAAGCCAGAGCCATCCACAGAAGATACTATATACCAATTTTATTGTTTGTGAAATGTATATTTAATAAATTGTTGTGTTAATCTTATTTCAGGTGTCCGTATCTTTTAGTCCTTGTGTCCCTATTTTCCCTTTACGTGTGTTTGAGAAGAACCCACGTGTCGATATTGAAGTGTGTCCGGGCTAGCAGACCCCGGGTACGTTTCAATATTATATATACTACGGGAATAAAGTGTCTGGAAACTGTATTTCCATACAGGCCTTTTGTTTACTTATGCTCATCGTTTGCTTTCTTATATTAACCTTTTCTACTTTTTGCGCTAACCCCTTTTCTCCTTTTTGCGCTAACCGATGTAAATTATGTGGGTTTTAGGTTATCAAGCTTCACCGTGTATTTCCAGTACGCAGGAATGTGCAAATAACGCAGGCATTGTGCAATAGTAACGCAGAACAGAATTATGCAATTAAGTGGCAAAACGAGCACCGCGATAAGTTAATTGACCAATATTTTTTTTATTGTACACCAAATTGAAGGAAATAAATTAGCGCATAAGGTTGCTGGGACATTATACTTTAAACCTCATCAAAATATTTCAATGAAAATGTTTAATTTTCAAGATCATTCGTGAAAATGACGATTTTTAGTTTCGTTGATATCTTTAAATACAGTAACGTACATATTACTTTATGATTTTTTTTATATTCGGTGTACCTAAGACATTTTCCAATTTACTCGTGTCATACTACACTTAACAATAGCGTTGCACCGATTCGGCGTTACTTTTACGTCATTTGCACATTCCTGCATTACTGGATATGCACGATGAGCTTGCTTTAGCGATGACAGATTAGATTTATCATATTTTTTTCAGTAACTGTGTGTTGTTTATACGTAAGTTTCAAGTCATTTTAATACTTCAAGGTGAGAAACCAGCTGATGAAGATATAGAAGGACCGTATCCTATTGTTGTTGACCAGCCAGGTGGTGGTAAAGGACTCGTTGTTCAAGCCTACACCATGGGCAAATACCTTGGTTACCTTAACCTGAAGTTTGACTCCAATGGCATGGTGACAAACTATTCGGGAAACCCTATCCTATTGGATTCTACAGTTTCAGAGGGTAGGTTTATGTTCAATCTGTTAGTATTGTTCACTTTGAAATGTGTTCTGAAGGGGTTGTTATTAAATACTGATTAGGGTTGGAGGTTGTTTTTATTTGAAGTATTGCCGTTCATTTTGAAATGTGTACTTATGGCGACTGTTTGTTAAGATAGTGACTATTTGTTAAATTTAGATCTATTGATGATCATCTTATTAGTGAAATAGCTTAAAAACTAAATATTTACCATTTTACGACTTAATGTTAAAAGCTCACTGTCTGTGATGTAAGACCCCAAATTTTACTTAAATGGTAAGTTATTGGTCGTTACATATTATACCGGTTGTTAGCTTTTTACATTCATTACAAAAAGGAGACGAAATAAATCATCCTAAAGTGTGGAATTTCAAGGCTTTTAAGTGCAGAGTTTAACGTGCTAGGTACCGAAATTAGCTTGTACACTTCAGTAATGACTGAAATGTAACCGATAAAGCATTTTTAAAAATGTGTTCGTTACGGGTGCATCTTGATGGTCTATAAGTACAATAGGTGTATTAACGTCATTTAATATAACGTTTAAGTATTAAATTTTACAGACGCACAGATTTTACGAGAAGTCAATAAATGGAGAGAACCTGTAGATAAACTTAGTGCATCTACGGTCGGATATTCGAAGGTTATAATGGACGGTGAGAGATCTTCGTGCAGACTTAAAGAATGCAACCTAGGTAAAAAGGCCCTGTCGGAATTTTCTATTCTGATATAATATCTACCTGACTTAAGTCAGAACAACTTATATCTTCCATGTAGATCTGATGACCACCGTATATGTTTCGCCTTCTTTTTAATTCGGATTTCCCGAGAAAGCTGTTGCATGCAACCAAACCGCCTTTTACAGATGTATCAAAATATCTATCCGCGGAAGTTAGACAAATTGTTGATTTATTTTAGAAAAAAATGTTTGAAGAATTAACAAATTAACTTGAAATAATAGAGTCAATTTTTAATGGGCAAGATTGTTTTGCCATTTTACCTGTCGGCTTTATGGACAACGCCATGTTTGTTCCCTTAATCGTGAAAATTACCTACTCGGTATTGATTTCCCAAGGGTTAAAATTGGAAACCGCATCGCATTCAAAATAATGAAAGCTCGACAACAATTGGTTGTTTGAAGGATTACGAGAAGGTGACTGTGGTGGATGTCAGATCCTAATGCGTAGTATTATTGAGGAGCTGATAATAATCAGATTGATATTATATTACAATATTACTTTACTTTAGATCAGAGTCAGTTTTGGCCTTGGTCTGCGTGATGCAAAAATATCCTTGTTTTAGTTGATATGAATACCTTTTATCTAGATATTACAGAAAACTACTATTGCTCTGGATAGTGCAGCCGACAGATGAAGATTTTTGACAGGTTATATGACCCTGTACAAACATGCATGAGCTTATATAACCGTAGAGGCTATTTATTATCAAAATTGTCATTGTAACAAATTTATAATACTGCACGTTTTCTTTTTTCATATTATGTATCTTAAATTTTACCACTTATGTCGTATAGATGGTACACATAACCACACGGCCCCATATACAGATTAGTGGGTCACATACTATTTTGTTTGAAAACCGATTTACACAAACCATTTTAACGGCCTCCCCTACATATAAACACCATGTCAGAACATTGATAATGACTGTATAAGCCCTGTTATTCATAAATACACCGCAAGGCAGGGTCTGAAATTTACGAAAGTCCCATATTTTTAGGCATGTACTGGAAATAAATTATTAAATTAACTAGAATGAATTTACACATGTATATACTTATCATACACTATATTTTATAATACTGCACGTTTGTAACGTCGCTTTTCATTGGATAGTCGTGACTTTTATATAGTTTTATATACACGGCTGTTTTCGATTCATGAAAAAAATCTTACTTTTTTTTCTAAAAAATGATGCTTACTGTATTATAAATTCGTTATACAGTTTGTTCACAGGTTTATATAAACGGCTGTTTGCAATATAACCATCGCCTAGCGGCTCGGGTTATATTTACAAATAGTCGTTTATATAAGGCCATATAACCTGTAAACAATCTTTATAAATACTAATATACTACTATATTTTATTTATGTATAATCTATAATTATGTTATTTATATAATAAATTAGTTACGTATTTTTTAGGGAATCTTGTAACAGACGGTATTGTGAACTACCATATTAATTTCAGTCACTCGGAATCCACCTGGGCTCCGGCTGTTATCGCTATCTGGAATGGTGGTGGTATAAGATCATCAATTGACAAAGGTATGGTATAGCTTTCAAACAGATTTTTATCCCCTTTTGAAAAGATGGGTTATACTGTTTTGTGACTGCCGCTGAAAACACCGCTCAATAATTTATCAACGCCTTCAAGGTGCCTTCAAAGTTCCTAGGGCGATATCGCCGATTGTGGAAAAGGCCCCTTTTGGTTTTGGGCGCCAATAGCATAACCTCAATGTCGCAGTGACCTTGAATGTAATTTTTGCAAAGGTTTAAAATGTGGTGAATACGATAATATTTAATGTTTGCTTCGCAATAATTTTGTGTCATATTGCATTAGAAATGACTATAATTGTTGGAATTATAGCAGTCTTTTTAGTTCAGTGTGTACACTTTGTTTTTTTATTCATTAACACATACAATAACAAAATCATGTTCTCTGTGACTTTTATAAATTTACTGTTTTTAAACTTGAAAGGTTTGGAGAAGGTTGCATCTGTCTCATTTTGAAATTAATTGTTTTAGATTTGTAAAAATTAGAAATAATCTTTGACCTATAAACTTTAAAACGTTAATCTTGCAAATGATATGATGAATAGATATATTGTTATAAAGGTCAATTCAGCAGATTATGTCTATGTTTACAATTTGTTAGTTCAAAATATCTTAACTAATCGTTTTTAATTGTAAATGAAACAAACAATAAGCAAATTGTGCCGAAATGTATTAAATGATAACGCATAAGTTTGTTGAAATTGGTTTATTATATTAACAGCAAAACAAATCCGAACTTTGCCAAAACACTGAAAATAGGATAGAGATTTACGATATATTTCTCGTATATTTGCAGGAATAGTTAGTTCCGGAGATATTTACAGCGTGTTACCATTTGGAAATGAGATAGATATTTTAACAGTGTCCGGTAAAAATCTCCGAGAACAGTTAGAACATTCTGTCGCAAATTATGACCGGTCCGATCCTCGAGGTGCATTTCTTCAGATGTCGGGTAGGTATATAACATTCTCTTAATTTTTCTTTAAAGTGAAATAAAAAGTTAATTAGAGTAAATCGTGAGTTCATGTCCATTGTGAAGTAATGATATTAGCGGAAGGGATTTTAACATTAAATCAATCATATATACAAAAATATACAAAACATTTTAAATAAAAGTATGATATATGAAGATGAATTAGAATAAGAGAAAGTGTAAAATGATCACCAACTTATAACATATAGTCACAATATGAATGTATGATGAAGTAAAAACTTAAGTTCATAAATCACGTATTTTAATGTTTTCAACTTTTCAAGTCAGTTAATTGGTAGCAGTGATTTAGTGATTTCCTGAATTATGAAAAAACGCCATTGAAAATCATTTAAGGTCATATTTCAATCGGCAAAATGAATGTGTCGTCTATGAGCATGATATCAAGGATTCAGCTTTCAGAATTCAGATGCTATGTCCAAGATTAAAGTTGTTCACACTGTCTATTTTATTGCATAAAACTAAAATATAAGCATTTATTGCTTCCTCGGACATCCGTTCAATTTTAATTTTCGAGCGTTGGTTTCGAAGCGACTTTTTTGTAATCATAAAATCTTTTCTTGTTATAAATTTATAGGACTCCGAGTTGTGTACAATCTACAGATGGAGGTAGGAAGCCGGGTTGTCTCGGTAGAAGCCAGATGTCTGAGCTGCGACATACCAAAATATAACCCTCTCCGAGATAGTGAAGATTATAACATATTTGTGTCGACTTTTATAATAAATGGAGGTAGTGGATATAAATTTGAAGCTTCAAAACGACAACGTTTTAGTAAGTATATAACATCATGTATAACTGTTCATACAAATTCCATTTTTACACATTAAACTCTGCGCTTTTTATGTTCACTTTACATAATAACTGATAACAGACCACTCTGGCAAATCAACTTGAATGTATAATACGCGTTTCGTAAAACCTTCATCTCGGCTATATACGAGAAACTGAATTTTAGAGGACCAATAAAGAAAACATGACAGTGCCCGCTTAATTTGTCGCTTTACCCTTTTTGTCGGGCCGCCGACGTCATCGTGTATTAAAGTATTGCCTAAAGGCCTGCGACATACGTATTAAGGTATAATGTGTTATAAAAAGTTCCTTGCCACGTTAGTACAATGTACCCCTAAAGCTGTACGTTCATTTATACATGTATATAAATTATATTTCATGTATATTAGAAATGGGAAAACATCTAATTAAACAGATACGTTAAACACCCAAGTTCTGATAATGTATCATTTCAGACAGATACATATTTTTTAAATTTAATAATATTTCATTTTTAACAGATACATTAGGCGCAAGAACACTGACTGAATACTTTAAGAAGCACAGTCCCATGTTTGCAGAGGTCGAGGGTAGAATCCAGTTCCATACAGATAACATTTCATCATCGGGCGCTCATCATTTACCCGCAGTTATCTTCATAATTGCGTCATTTGTAGTCAGATTGTTGTAAAACAAAGAAGTGAATGTTTTACATTTATTATACTGAGCTTTAAAATAAAACCACCAGGGCAAATGTACTATTGAAATAACAAATGGATTGGATACATTGATTAACATGATTTCAGGATATAATCTAAGTTATTTAAATTTTAAATGGCATAATATTTTATTGAATGTCTCGAAGTATTTGAAATGAAATTAAGATAATATTGAAAGTCTGTAATTGATTTAAATAATATAACAATTGTGATAACAGTTTAAAGATGATTTAAATTTTAAGATAAAATTGCAACTAGTTTGTTGGTTTAAATGATAACATTATTGTGTTGAAATTCTACAAGTGTATAATATACATAACGTTTTGAATGTGAGTCCATACCTACACTCATATCGAGTTTTCATATACCTATATTATTTTTCTTGCTCTTCATCTATCACTATTGTCACATTTTTCAGGTCTTCTAATTTCCGTGTCCAAAAATACGTTGAAGAATGACTCTTCCCGGTGCTGCGGGGGGGGGGGGCAGAGGACGAGATATGATGTTCTTATTATTGTACATCATCAACGGTCTCAATCATTGCAAGTTAATACTAATTTTGTTTTAAATCCTCTCATCCGATCTCCATTTCAAGGAGCTTATAAGAAGCTTTTATCTATACCGGTGTCATTAGTAAAGTATACCGATTGTTTATCAATCTGTTTTTACCCAGATTTCAACACGTTTTTTCCTGTCATATGTCGGCGGCCGATCAATCTTACTGGCTTTCCTGGCTAACTCACTAGAAATAAACAATTTCTGACCAGTAATAAATAATTTCTCCGCAAGTGACCGGCTATTAAGCCCTCATCATCGGCTAGAGACGAATGATCATTAGACTTATTGTCCGGGATCAATTGTCAAAAAGAAATTTTGCTATGTCTGAGAATCGAACCGGCGACTCCTTGTTTATGAACCCGGTGTTCTTCCTATAGAACAAACTGGTATATAATACAATGATTATGATTTGAATTTAATTATAATTTTAATTGTTTTATTGTTATTATGGCTATGTGTCTTGCATAACAGTTTTAAGGCATGGCCTGCTTTCCTGTATATACATGTATATCATTGTTTACTTTTTTAAAAATGTCCCTCTTAATGGTCTTTGTTTGCAGTCTTTGTCATATTAAAATGTCTACATGAAATGTTATATATAGAAACGGTTTATGTATTTCACTTTTTTAAATAGCTGCCATGTTTTCTTATGTGAATTATAAACCATGTTTGTCAAGAAATTATTGTCCCTCCGTGTACATGTATAAATGTTAATATCACCACATGCATTCGTATCATTTTTACCTAATTAGATTTTATAGATTGTGTTTAAATGTTGTTTTTTTCATTTGAATCTTTTTTTTCTTGTGTTATCTTAGACAAATTTGTTTTGCTTGTGTACTCATAAATATATGTGTTCCTTGCAGTATAATTGTTTATTTTCCGGTGACTTTTTATTCTACTGCTTAAAATTATGTCCAATCCGATACCAAAGTCAAGCTCCTTGGACCAAAGAGATCCTATTTCCTCCCTTAAGATATATATTGCTTCCTTTAATCTCCAAATGGAATGAAATTGTTTCATTTTAATAAGATTTTGTAGATTATGTTATATTTTTTTATGGTTTGCGTTATTAGGCTTATTTCAAAACATTTTACTGTTACTTATTTGATAAAGATACAAAAATGTATTTGAAAACTATGTTTTCATTTCAGCGTTTCATGTTACAATATAGCAATAAAAATCTCATAAAAAACAAGAAAAGCAAACACATTTATCTTAATTAACGAATTATTTTTTTTATATTACAAAAATTAATAATCTTAATAAAGTATATTGCGTTAGTTTTATTCTTTTTAGAAAGAATCATTTGTATTAGTTGATATCGAATTGAAAATGTCTGCCGAAAAGGAGCATAGTCACCAGAACTCCAGAGAACATACTTTGTTTTGTTTAAACATATGTTATTGCACCAAATACAAATGTACATGTAAAATATTATACATATTATGAATATATAACAAAAAGCAAATGGGTTGGGCAACAAGTTCTAGCAACATTTGAAGCTCTTCCAAGAACTTTGTGTGACCATTTGAAAGAAAATGCATTAACATACCTTTGGACTTTGGCATCGTCAAACGTAGTATGATTTCAGAACAGTGTTACCATAATAAGATTGTTAACCAACACAGTAACAATAAAGGATCCTATAGTTATATTTTCTTCACACAACTTCCTCATAATACGTGAAATTTATGTAATTTTGAGCGATATTTTTATAAAATTGCGTGTTAAAAGTTCTGTCTTAGTTTGTTTGTTTTCTGGTTTTTACAAACATTTTGACACGTTTTGGTAATATCTCGGCAGGTGACCAACTTTATGATTGTCAAAGTCTAGTTGTAGAGGCAGTTGACCTTTAGACTCAATGTCAGATATATCATTTGTCAGAAAGAAATAACGCCTCGCACGAGGCATGATATCCAGCAAGTCCTGGGTTACTAATCCAATGCTCTCTATTGAATGTATGTATGTACGTACGTACGTATGCATTCTAGGCTTAATGAGGGTCCATCTACCCTTCCAGGCACTGAGAGGTCTATTGAACTAGGCTTGCAAACTCTGTGTTTGTAAACTGTTGTTCAGTAAAACGCTTAATGAGCTTACTGCACCTCTTTCCGTTCTTAACACAGAGAGATTTATTTCAATATACAATAGAATAGCATGGCACACCATAATATATACAAAAACAGATGCAAGATGTATGAGTGAATAAATTTCCATGCCAAACAACATTATATATCAAGGATAACAGAGAAAAGTTAAACCCAAACTCACTCGTATTTCCATTGTGGTTCTTAAGATACAGAATTGTGGGACATAGAAAGATAATGAGATGAGTATCTTAAATTTAAATACAACAATATAAAATACATTTTTATAGCCATTCTATAAGAGTTATAAGATACTAAACATCTCAAACACTTTAGAACACATAATAAAAACAGTATAAAGATTAAACATTAACAGTGTTAAACAGCTATTAAAATATTAAGGTCAGATTTGTCTAAATGACTGCCAAAAGGTAAGTTAGTAATTTTAAAAGTGACACTAAATAACATGCTAATTAAAGTTAAAACGCCAAACACTGGAAATGTTTCATCTGTACATTTTAAAATGTATGTCATAATAATAAAATTGTTGCAATTACTGAAAATTATAACTTACAGTTTGAAATTTTTACTATATAAGATATTTTTTCTAATCACAGCAGGATTTTGCATGGATTCTAATCATGTCCGGGTGAGAGAACATGAATGCAAATTTATCATTATCAGACATATCATAAAACCTATTGTCTACAGAATGAGCTTTCTCATAAATGAACTCACGTATTTGATTATATAGAGGGCATTGTAATAAAACATATATTTCTGTAAACTCTTCATAAACTCTTCACAAAATGGACATACTCTTTCAGATACCGGCATGTTAGTATAACGCCCATTTTTTATTTTAGCGGCGCAACACCACACCTGGATTTGGATAGCGCAGACCTATGACAGTATGGTAACTGTAAGTTACAAGATACTACGATTGATCAAAAAGTTCCTGGTCCGAGGGGTACTCTCAGTTGTCACAGAACCCAACTAATGGTCTTACTTTTAAATATAAACACCCTCTACATCAATGCACTTTGCCCACCTATGCTCCAACTTGCTTAACCCTTCAAAATAGAACTCTCTATTTTGGTCCTCAAAGAACTCATTGACCGCCTCCATGACACCTTCATTGCTTCCAAAACGTCTACCACGAAGCTTGGTTTTCAGTTTCGGAAACAGGTAAAACATGTCAGAGGGGGCCAAGTCCGGAGAATATGGGGGGTGAGGAAAATTTCAAAGCCGCAGTTAGTTGTAGCAGCCATCGCAACTTGGGATGTGTGAGCTAGCGTATTGTCGTGCAAGAGAAGAACGCCTTGAGTCAGTTTGTCCCTCGTTTTACGCGCGATTTCTTGACGCAGACGTCTCCATTTGTCTGCATAGTACGTATCGTTTATGGTACGATCTTTCTCAAATTAGTCAATCATGATTATCCCCTGGCTATCCCAAAACATTGAAGCCATCATCTTCCCTGCTGATGCCAACCTTTTAAATTTCTTCATAATAAATAAATAAATAAGCTCCCGTTTGGCACCTTATGTAGTTGGCACTTTATTAAGACCATTATCAACATCATATTTATCAACACTATTTCTCTGGCCTCTCGGTGTTATAGATCAAATGTAAGTCAAATGTAGATCATAACAATTTGTGTAGTTGGCACTTCATTAACAGTTGATTGACGCCGCTATCATCGAAATCTTATCAACAATAGACTTCTAATATTGACGTCTGTCACGCACAAATGTTCTGTCACAAACGTTTGTTATCTGTTGAGAATTTGCGCATTTGTGTATGACTATATATACATACATGCATGTAAACAATGATCATTGTTTAAATAACATAAATTTGAAAATGACATTTCAAAACATTTTTATATTTAGATTTAACATATGATAAATTATATGAAAAACATTTGCTAGTGTATAAAGTATTTCTCTTGTATTTGTAAATAAAAATAAATAGGAGCTGTGCGTTGTGTGTGTGTCGTAATTTAACTCCAATGTTGTTAATTCAATAAGTATATGATCCATCTCTGACTATATAATACATTGTAATGCATGTGAAATGATATTTTATTTAATTTGCTTATTGTAATGAGTTTAATTAAAATGAATTGGTCCGTAGTGGAAGGTATATATTACTATAAATAATTATGCTTTAAGTATTTAGCACTATATCTCACAACAAACCATAGAATAATTGAATGTGAATGTTGTTGGTAAGTTGTCAGATACATAATTCGGCTTTACATATCTTCATATGGCAAATAATAAATCATTCAAAAACAATCAATTATTATTCATCATTTGTATCATAGTTTGGGGACCGTTCTGTTGAAAATATGTCAGAGTTAAATCGTATACATATACATGCACAGTGCGTTACCTGGAGTATATTAGTTACCCGCACTCCAGAGCATGCCCATTGATTTGCTCATATTTTTGATAAGGTTTACTTATTGTGACGGCAGTGAAAAGGAAAGCGACAGAAATATCATATTCAGATGCTCGTTCATTGGTTCCTTTTTTCTTGGGTTTAATATTGAGACAACAGGGAACGTGTTTTTATGTTTGACTATGATACAAAAGAGAAAGAACATCAAAACACTCGGCAATCTGATTAATACTCGGTAGCCACGCCCCATCGTACAAATAAGATAGTCTCCTGTTTCTATGCTCTTTCTATTACATAAATGTGCATATCTATATCACTTTAAATTCTGTCAACATTTTTTTTTATTCCGAGCAATATTTAATAAAATTATCCAACTGACATTCCACTGTTTTCAGCAATATTTGAAACACCTAGGGAAAAGGTTCAAATGTAGGTCAATCCACTTTTAACAATTTATAAAATATGGTAGTAGAGATTTCTATAACATCTAAGCTCATGGTTATAATCATGATGAGATGACTAATTTTACTATGTAAAGAATTTATCCACAAAGTTCGAGATGTGTAATGCATAACAGATGTACTAAGAAACAGTCGTATTGCATCTATCATAAGCTGATTTTGATCGATCTTAGAACATTTTATTGCAATATAAATGCATCAAGCATCATGATATGACTTGTTGTTGAATACACCCTCGTCTGCTCCCGACACGTGCCGTTTGATCATGATCTGCACACACGTGCCGTTTGATCATGATCTGCACTTTTCACTATTCTAAGCCAATAATTATTTTAAAAATTTCCCTATTAATGTTGAATTGTTTTGTCTAGACTTTAAAATTCGTTTATTTTGCGTGGTTAGGATAATGATCTAAGTTTGATTCATGTTTAGTGAGTCTGTATATTAACTATAAGATCCCTTGATAAATTGCTTTGGTATTTTGCGCCATGAAAAATCGATGCCTTTGATCTTTTCCATATTTCATTACATAGAATTAATGACTGTTGTGTTTCAAGAGAGAAATTTTGTTTTTAATGTTCATCGAAATAAATGGATGTCCTCATGTTTTATAAAATAGTTCTTTTTATCTAAATCTAAGGTTCAATGAACCCTTGTGTAAGAAATACTTTAAAGTTACATTATGCTCCTCCAAGTGTATATAATGACTGATTCACAGGTAAAAGTAAAAAACAAGTTTACATTTTTCATGATAACTTTCATTTTTTATACTTACTTTACATGAACAACATGTATAAATAAATCACATGGAAATGTCTATTTATACCCACCAGTGTTTACCTTTGAAAAAAGAGAGTGGCAGACTTTTATATTTTCAGCAGATTTATATTTTGGCTAAAACTTTTTCAAATATCATTTGTTGGTCACTTACCATTATTATAGCAGTTAATCTTTTGAAATATATAGCTAATTTACCATTGTAACAGTAAATATTTTGAAATATATAGGTACTTTAGCTCAACTTGACTTTGAAACAATGAGCATTGTAACACCGCCCTTTGGGGTCCAACGCACTTTGGGGTCGGAACCCAAAGTGCGTTACGCACCTTGGGGTTCAATTTGGACCCCAAGGTGCGTTAAACAGGTACATATGCATTTTTTAACATCTGACAAACGACCGCACTTTGGGGTCATAAAAATGAATTTTAACTATGTTTTAAGTAAGGTATTGTAGTCAAAGCTAATGGTAAACAAACCTCAAGGTATTACAGAGACGTAAAACAGGTGCCCAAAATTATAGTAGAACGGATAGGGATTTAAAATGATCTAGATCAGTTAGTGAAGAACTTTATCAAATAAAGAATTTGTATCAATCAATAAGCAAAAAAAATGTATTTTTCTCACATTTTCCATTTTTTAAAAAGATTGTACACCTTTCATTAACTCCGTTGTTTTTAGCTAATTGCATCATCATCCCGTTTATTATTTACAAATTTTATAGAAATATGACATCTTATCAGAGACAAAGGTTTAAATTCTAGACAATGTTAATAAGACATTTTAGTTAATAATGTGCCTGACAATATGTTAAAGGGCCATTTCTTAACCTTATCTAAACGTGACATTTAAGAAACTTGACTAGGTGTAGATGCGACCTTAAGTACTGCAGTTCTCAAAAAGGTTCACCAACAGCGGAACTTCATAATAACGTAAAGTTTTCCATGCGGGGTGGTCTAGAGAGGACGGTAGGTTTTCGTTCACCAAAAAATGATAAAATTAACGTTTTAAAGACCCGTTATGCTTTTATTTGTATTTCGAAATAGTTTTTATTTTTTGTGTTCTTGTATAGAATCAAAAACAACTCATTGGCAAATTACTTGAACCACCTTTTTATCTGTTGCCTTTTTGGCAATGAGTACAGTTATAGTAATTTAGTACTTTATATGGAAATCAAATACTACATTGTTTACATTTTGCTACTTTTATGACGACAAAGTATTTCATATCTATCGCTACTTTATTCAGGTAACAAGCATCTTACATTTCTCTGATACCATTTTTAAACATTATTAAATTCATGTTGGCTCTTTCTTAAAAAGTGTGTAAGATTTCCCAGAAAACCTTTGGCAAACGGTTATTAAAAAGATTACAAAAAAACCCTAAAGTTTGTTGATAAGCTAAATAATGTTTTTGTAAAAAACACTATTTATAGTCCCATCGAGAAACTTTATATTTTACCAGAGCATTGCAACAGAGGATATTTAT